ACCGAGAATCGACTTCCATGGTGTCAGAGGAGAAAAAAAACGCAAAAGTCATCATGATCATCACAGCGAGGCGTCCATTTCCTCCTGAACTTGAAACCTAAATGTCAATAACATATTCCAACATTGATTATGGTCTACACAACTACCATGAGATCACATGGGCACATTGTAATAAACAAACAATATGTGCCCCGATGATGGTACATTTTCCCAAATTGTTGCAAGTTATGGCTTATTTTTCATCACATTTTCTTGCAGTGTGTGGACTATTTTAGAAAATGAATGTAGTATTTACAGTCACCACCTGAATCTGAACGGTGCCACGGCCGCCATGGTGACTTTCCCCGGCTCACTTGCCCTCCTGGCTGCGTTGAATGTTGGACAGGACCCTTTATCACTGGGCCCCTCCGGCTCCTCACCCCTCAGGTCCTGGTAGGAGTTATTCCTCACCCTCTTCCTGATGTTGTCCAATGACACCTGCATTGTTCTGGGGCTCTCGTTACCGTTTGTGCCTCTGGAACCGAGCTGATGTCCGACCTGGACATTACACAGGGGCTCACCTTCCCCTGTGGCACTTCTCATCCGATATTTACCAAAAGTCCAGTTCTGGTTGACGGTTACGCCTTGGCCTGGCCAGATCTTGCAGGGCTCTGTTGTGTGTTAAGGAGGCGGGCGTCGGATGTTCCAGTGTTGTTCTTTGGAGCGGGGGGCCGCTCTCATCTTTGGTGGCCTGAGGAGCTGCTGTAGGCCGAGCGGTGGGGCCCCTCCCGTCTGTCCTGGTGGTCTTCTCCCTGGTTCTCCTTCGGTGAACGTACTACTCCCGTCTGGAACAGGTGGCTCTCCCCCCCTTCCCCTCCTCGAGAAAGCCACCCTTTAGCCTGCTGGGAAGAGGATGCAGGCATGAGGAGGTGGGAGAAGACGCTGGAGCCTGCTGGGAGATAGAGGAGGCTGTCATGCGGTGGGGTGGAGGGAGGTTTCCGCTCTGGGGTCTGGGTCCATGATCTGCAAGGAGGAGGGGTCGGTGGGGGGGGCGAAGGCTGAGTGGACCAGACTCCTGTGTCACACATCGACTCCGGGATAACATCACTCTGGAGGGCCAAGCGGACATGGTCACACACAAGCCCAGGGGTGGGGGGGGTCAAATACTGTAAAAAATAAGCAAACAGAAAACTTAACTAATACTTATCAAGTAGAGTGAGGTAAAAAAAAAGTGATTAATTCATGTAGTATTTAGATATATATAATAAATATATATATATATATGATATAAATACCTGGTCTAGAGCTCGCCATGGTAGACCAAAGGGCTAGAGGACAGCCGTGGTGGATGGACGTGGCTCAATTCACAAGCGATGGTAACATCCGGAAAAAAGAACATAAAAAGCTTGAGAAATACCAAGGTCTCAGAGAGGAGCTGGAGAGGGCCTGGAGGGTAAAGGTGACAGTAGTGCCCGTGGTGATTGGTGCACTCGGGGCAGTGACCCCGAAGCTAGATGAGTGGTTACAGCGGATCCCCGGAACAACCTCGGACATCTCGGTCCAGAAATGTGCAGTGCTAGGAACAGCAAAGATACTGCGCAGAACCCTCAAGCTCCCAGGCCTCTGGTAGAGGACCCGAGCTTAGAGAGGGATAACCGCCCGCGGAGGGCCAAAGGTGAGTGGACAATTTTTAAATATATATATATACATATATATATGTATATATATTCACCATTTTGTGTCATAATTTTTAACGTTGCATTTTGTGAAGGAGAGGTTCCGCAGGTCCTTCCTTCCTGCTGCTGTCAGACTGTATAATGAGAACTGCTGACCATTCACCTGTTCTGATAAGAGTGGTTTTTATCTTGTACATTCTAGCAAAAAGAAACAACACACAGATTGTACTCAATGTCAACTGCAACTGTTAACTGCATTCAATTTTAATAAAAAGAGAGACCAAAATGTCCCGACCCACTGCTAATCACATTTTAATGAGATCTTAATTCACATCAAGTTCAATCGAAATTGCAAACCCTCTCCACGACAGCGAAGGCGATCTGGTACGTCTGAAATGCCAAGGCCAACATTTTCTCACTAAGCCTCCAACCAACGTCACATTTCACACCGCATTAAGTCAGAAACAGAGAGAATGTGGTGAAACAACATAAATACTGAGAAAGCGTAACGCAGGGCGACAGTGGGCGCATCGTTTTTTCTGTTTCTGGCCTAAATGTGGAGTTGCTGAAGACAGACTTTTAAACAGCTGCACATTCCTCTGTGTGGACCTCACACCACAGACAGATGACGGACGATGTGTGGAAACTGGAGGAAATGGTTCAAGGCAGCAGCTCTGTACCTCTGTCTGTATCACTTACAAGTGTGCAGCCTGAAGAACCAGAGGAAACTGTTCACAATCAACTCGGGTACAGTGACTTGACTAAAATATATCACTGGTAATTTTTCTGACTAAAACTCGAACTAAAAAGCACCAAACTAGACAATTTTTGGTGACTAAAACTAGCAAAAATGATCAATTATGAGGTTTTAAATGCTTGAAATGAGTGGTTTTAACATATACATTCTCACTGTGTTAAAACAAGATTTGCCAATGGGACAAAGCCATTTATATTCTTATTTAAAGATGTGTTACTTTATGTTCTCACTCCATTTTTAAACCAGAATCATTTTGCTTTTTCCCATTTGCAAATCTTGTTTTACAGCACTCAGAATGTGCTTAAATGAAGATACATTTTGCCAAATTTGAGCAATTTTGGATTTTCTTGTCTTCATTTTTTGTGTGTAGATGAGTGGTTTGAGTCCTGTTCGGAGTTGCCTTGTGTATGAACTGTGCTATATAAATAGTCTTGCCTTGCCATTGATGAAAAAGGCAACATATGTTCAAACAGATTTGGCTAATGTCTCTTTGTCTTGTCGCCACAACCTGCAGAGAGAACAGTGACAGACTGACTCTTGGCACATGCGGCAGGAGAGGGGCCCCTTTCAGTCTGTGCCATCACCAGCTGCCCCCTCTGCCCACCAGTTCACACACCACCCCAAAACCTGCCCTCAAGTCTGCCATATTTCTCTTTTAATGCATGTGACGTGTTGGACCACTAGATGGCGTTGTGTGGTTTTGTGGGTTTTTTTTTAATTGCCATTGTAAGAACACTGCAAAAGTGATAAAAATGAAGTCAAATTTGGGAAAGTGTATTTGAATTTGACCACATTTTGTCTACCTTAAAACAAAATTTGACAATGAGACAGGCAAAATAATAATTTATTCTATTTCTTATTTAAAAAAATAGAAGAAATGTCTAAATTGGAATGAGAAAATAAAGCAAGAGGTCTTGAAATAAGACTAAATAGCTTTGTCCCATCGGCAAATCCTGTTTTAACGCAGACAGAATGTACTCAAATTAGGATCAAAACTAAAGAAATTATTTATTACCTCATATTTTAACATTTTTTGCAATGTAAAAGGAACTCACTAATAAAGGAATGTGCTTTGGCTCAAGGTGCAAACAAGTTATAAGAGTAGAAATAAGGGAAAGGCATTCATAAAGAAATCCTCATAAACATACAAGTAACACAGGGGTTCCCAAACATTACAAGCTGGGAACTCCAAAATAGGCTTTAAAGTCAACAGATGCATGCAAATTAAAACGATAATAATTTGAAGCATTTAAGGTCCTATATTTTGCTTTTCTTATTTTTCTCACAGTTCATCCTATGCACATGTGATATACCATACAACACTCAAACCCTAGAAATTGTAGCCATTTCTTGCAGAGAGCTGAGGTCACCTCTATGCAAACGCTTGGATCTGCGCTTCTTCCTCTGTGAGCCCTCCCCCCCACCCCCGCCGTAACGTAGCCTCACACTGACTTTGTAAACACAGAACTATTTCACTTTCACCAGGACATAATCATTTCAGACCTGAGAATAAACTTTTTTAAACAATAACTAACGTCACATAGATCCCAGAGCTCCACCAGAATTTGACCCTAATTATTTGGTGCACAAAAACTGTATAGGGAAATCTGAATAACACAGGTTTCCAGATCATCTTTTGAGTAAGTCCAGTTGCATGGAAAACAAGCAGTTTTTGGGGAAGTGTCTTACACAAATGCAGATTTGTCGAGGCAAATCCCCGTGAGTAGAATGACTAGTTACACTCACACATCCCTCATCTTTGGGTCAAATTCACAAAGTTCCATCTAAAATCACATTTCTCCAGGTTGACATGATGCTACCACTTTCAGTCGCTGTCAGTAGCAGAAAAACAGCATAGAAGCAAACACAGACAGTCATAAACACAGTGGGGGCAGGTTCTGACTCCAAAAGGTCTGGTATTGCAGCATGTGCGTGGACATGCTGCAATACCACTCCAGTTCGTCAGGGCGGACTGGGAATAAGTCGGCTCTTGCCCTAACGTTGTGTTCCAGATGCTGTCAATGCTGAGGGGAGTATCTTTTTTAGCTGCGAGTTAGTCAAAACAGTAGCGATGTGACCCGAAGGCTTCCGTAGTGTTGGAAGGGTGTAAAAACTACATTGTGAAATCTATGTAGTTTCTCCTCAAAACCCACCTGTTTCACCTTCCCATTCCTTATTTTTGTTCATTATTGATTATTTTTATGTTTTATGTTGTAAAGCGTCCAAAAAAGCTCTATTTCAGTTCGATGTATTATTATTATTAATTTTACTATTATTATTTGATCTATATGATTATTATTCATATTTATTAAGGACACAAAAAACACGGCAAATAGTTAAAATATTTTTTAATTTTTTCTATATTGCATATAGAAAAAGAAATGCAAACATTAAAACACATTTTTTAATGTTATTTATTTGTTGTTTACCATTACTGCTACTACTATCACTCACATGTACAATAAAAATGTACTGAGAATTTTTCTCATTTGATTATTTAAAAGCTGTCAAAGTCATTATTATATTCATTGCATTTTTACCTGTCTGAAAAACATTACATACAGTAGTCAAAACAAAAATAATTTCAATGTTCTTTTGAGGCATTTGTAAGCAAAAAAAAATTCTTAATGTAGATGTTAGAGTGCTTTGCTTTGTAAATTGGACCCAATATTACAACACAAAACTATTATTATACCATTATTTACATTATTATACACTATTACCAGCATGTACAATAAAACCGTCCTCAGAACTACCAAAGTCATTATTATATTCTGTGCATTCATACCTGTCTGAAAAAAACATTACACCAGCTTGACTCTCTTCCCAAAGCATTACGTTATGGTCCGAGATGAGCTCCTTTCCACTGTCGGCTGCAGATAACAGTAATGCAATTCAGACCAGCCCCATTAAAGTGATGGAGCCAATCGATGCGGACGACGGAGAGACATGACCGCTCTGAACACTGTCTCCATGTGGGAGGACTCTTTATGTCTGCACTCACTGCAAAAAGTGGTGAAAAATTACTCAAAGATTACTCAATTACTCAAAGATAAGCTAAATGTGTCTTAACTTTGACACATTTTGACTTCCTTAAAACCAGATTTGCCATTGGGACAAGACAAATTATCTTGTTTTGAAAAGATACAAGAAATGCAAAGCTGATAATGACAAAATATGTGGTAATAATTGCTTGAATCAAGTGTTTTTTTATCTTAATTTTTAGCACATTTTGACTGCCTTAAAACAAGATTTGCCAATGGTTCAAAGCTTTTTAGTATTATTTCAAGAACTCTTGCTTTATTGTCTCATTTCACATTTCATGTATCTGTTTATAATGTAATTTTGCTTTGTCCCACTGTCAAATCTTATTTTAAGTAGTCAGAAGGTGCTCAAGTGAAGATAAATTTTATATACTTTATTTAGTAAGTCTTTCTTGGAATTAGAAAATAAAGCAACATTTTCAATGTGTCCTCAAATTAAGATAAAAACCACTTGACTCAAGCATTTATTCCATAATATTTGATCATTTTTTTGCAGTGCGGTCTCCCCCCTGGACTCTCTCACACTGTTGCAGACTTATGAATGACTCCTATTACTTGTTTCGGTGACATCATGCCGAGTTCCTCTTGCGGCGTTTGGAGTTTTCTTCACTGTCAAGTTTGAAAAGAATGTCTTTTTTCAAGATTCTCTTTCAACGTGCCGCCTTCAAAAGCAGTTAAAATTACTGTCTGTCAAACCCCAAAGGGCAAGACTGATGATGTGAACAGACCGAGTGGTTTCCAACTTTTTCTTCAAAGCAAAACAGGCCGAGATCTACTCCAATGAAATAAACTCGATAGATAAAACACTGACAGAAAACCACATATAGGCCTATCACTATAGTTACTATAGTTAGGTTTATCATTCAATAATTCAATTCAATTCATTTTTGTATAGCGCTAAATCACAGCAGTAGTTATCTCGGAGGACTTCACAAAGTTATCAATTCGTCAACATAGATCATGAATCAAAAAGTTCAAACACAGGAAATTAAATGATAAAAAACACATTGAGGTAGTAACTAAAGAATGGACCAATATAACTCAAAATGTACAGTATTTTTTTCTGTTAATCTGTTTTAGCGTATTACTAGAAGTGATAAAGCCCAATTTAAAGCAGTTTGCAGGAATTGTACTGCTGTATAGTTTTGTCGCCAGTGGCAAAATCATTGAATTCATTATTTCAATATAATTTCAGTATTCTTCCTTTATCACAATACTTTACAGGTCGATTCTGAATGTTGCCCTCACATTACTGCAATATTTAGTAATCAAATAAAACATTAATATGACAGACAAATTATGAATCAATTATACGTTTGCTCCCTCTTGACTCTCTTAAAAAAAGGTTCTTCATCTCAATGGGACTTTTTGGTTGAACAAAATATACCTTTGGCAACTCCACTAATTTGGTGATGGCTGGACCTTACACTTTATCAAAGAAACAGCACATAAAAACAGCCAAAACAAGAAAAACTCAAAAACGCAAAAAATAGATCAAAACAAATCCTTAAATTATAACCCCTGAATAAACTAAAGAAATCAGTAGAAATCAGTCGTTGGTTTTGTGGCTAAAGACCTTCACTATAATTACAATGTTTTTTTTGGCCGCACCTGACCTTTTCCTTTGGTTCGCAGATGGTCCGACAAATCTTCAAGCTGCTGCGGTGAACTTGGAGATATTCTCTCAGCCCAAGACAGTTTGATCCACTTTTAGAGAGAGACTGGATCTATTTTTTATATTTAGCACCGAGTCCCAGATTTGCCCATTGTGCCGCGTCCTCTTGTGACTTTGCACAGTTAGACTGAAGTTCAAGGCTGAGAAGGTTAATTTAGTAAGATATGTGTTTAAACAGTCTACTACACTGCAACAAGAAATGAAAAATAAGTCAAGAATTGTTCAAATGTGGTAAAAATGTATCTTAATTTGAGCCTTAAAGTGAGATTTGCCAATGTGACAAAGTAAGATAATCTTGTTTTAAAAAGATAAAATAAAGCAACAGTTCTTGACATAAGACTAAATGGCTTTGTCCGATGAAAACATTAAAATGACTTGTTTCAAACATTTACAGCTACTTTATTGTGTTAAGATTAAGACCGACAACTTTTAAGATTAGGATGAAAAGATCCATTATTCATCCCACAGTGGAGAAGTGTTGCATCACCACCTACAGAACAGTAGGAATGAGGAGCACACAACACAATATAAATGAACAATAACTCTATACTATAGTAAAATCACTAACTCTTTCTTAAATAGAAAGAAAGAATAAAATCTCTAGCTTTAGCATAAACTCTTCTGAGAACCATGTGACACGGACCCAAACAGGTCTTTTTCCAGCACAGACATAAATCATTTAATCAAAGCTTGTGAATGAGGCGGTTACGCAACTGACCCAGTCCTGCATAATGAATACTGCAGAAGGGGGCAGCACGGTGACAGGCTGTAAGTGTGGGGCAGAAATGTATTGTTTTGGTCCAAACTAAATAATCTTATAATAGAGTAAATATTAGTCTCTGCAGGGGAGGAAGGACAATAAGCATACCAAAAGTGCTCATTTTTGCTTCATTAATCCAAAATATTGGTCCACCTGTAGATATTGTTCAATTTCCTCTTCTCTCGATTGTAATAAAATCTTGGACTAGGCAAGGCAAGTTTATTTGTATAGCACAGTTCATACACAAGGCAACTCAAAGTGCTAAACAAAACCAGAAAGGCAATAAAATAATGACCGTACATTAAAAAGAGTGAAGATAAACCCCCTCAGATGTAACACAGCCAACCAGAACTGCTTTTAACCTGGTTTTGAACATTGTCAAAAAGAAGCCTGTCTAACATTTGCAGGAAGACTGTTCCAGATTTTAGCTGCCTCCCCATGGTTAGTTCTGACTCTGGGCACCAGAAACTAATGTTAAAAGCAAACTAATAGAGACGTATATGAAGACGAGTGACTATCTGACAATAAAAGTTAACAAACTAAATATTTTACTTTCAAAAAACAAAAGTGCCGCTGCCACAACAGAGACTGAGAGCAGTTATATTGCAGAACATCTTTTTATAAAAGTCATGAAATATGTAACAGCTTTTCCGGACCTTCCCATGTCATGTTAGGTTATTTAAGGTGGAACCACAGTCGCAGAAACAGCAGAATAGCACAAAGTAAAAAAATGATGAAATACGAGGTAATAATTAATTGAATTGTGTTTTTTACTTAATCTGTCTTAAAACAAGATTTGCTTGTAGAGTCTTATTTCAAGAACTGCTGCTTTATTTTCTCATTCCAGGGGAGACATTTCCTGTATCTTTTTAAAATAAGATACAAGAATTAACGTACATTTTGCCAAATTTGAGACTTTTTTATACTTTTTATTTCATCGCTTTTTGCAGTGCAGAAAAAGCAGCAGGCCAAAGAGTGTGCCTAAAACATGTGATTATTATTCAATTATGATGTGTTTTTAAGGGGAAAGAGAAAAGGAAAGAAGTCTACTAAAATGGGCAGTGTTTCTGATTTACAAACTGGGGCGATTAGCTGTCCTGAAATGTGGCTTTAAAATATTATAAAAAAAAAAAAAAAAGAATGCATCTGTTAAATGCATCAGCCTTGAGTAAAAATGCCAGACTTGCAAATGCATTCACCCTCAACCCCAGCATTGTGTCTCTGTTTTACTTCCTCTAAATCAACAGGACGGTCACAGTGGAATCATGGCTAACTAAAAAGCAGCCCACCCACAACAACAGTTCCACCAGCGATGACATCATGCCTCATCAGTGCTATTCCCAGAGCCATACGACCGACCCCCGTATAGAATTGAATTATGGCACCATCTGTGTGGACCATCACTGTATACAAGGAGACCATGAGCCAATAATGGACTGTTGTGTCCTGGTAGATAATGTGCAGGCAAAGTACTCCCTATCAAAAATAATGTTGCTGTATACTGTAATAGTATAGAGTTATTGTTTACCTACAAAGCAAAATATGATGAGGTAATAATTGCTTGAATTGAGTGGGTTTTATCTTATATTGAGTGCATTCTGACTGTCCTAAAACAAGATTTGACAATGGTACAAAGCCATTTAGTCTTATTTCAAGAACTGTTGCAAATCTTGTTTTAAAGCAGTCAATATGTGCTCAGTTTAAGATAATTTATTTCCAAATTTGAGCAATTTTTTTTTTCATCATCTTTTTGCAGTGTATTGTGTGTTCCTCATTTCTACTGTTCTTAGGGTTATGATCTTTCAATCTTAATAATTAAAATATAATGTGGGAAAATACAGACTGAATAGGAAAACATTTGTGTCATAGAAACGATATGTATTTCATGTGGAATCTGACATGGCGTGAAACAATTTAAAAAGTTGTATTTATTTAAAAACAACAAAACGCTCTTTATGGAAGATTTTTGGGGTGTTTTTTAGTAAATTGGTATTTATTAGTATTTATTTTATGTGGACTTTATTAAAGACCCATATGCAGGCCCAGGATCCATAGCTAACAACATCCCTTATTAGTCGTACATTTCGCTATTAATGTAGACTCAAAACAAAACTAAAATATTTGAATTTCTCATCATGCTATATTCTTGGGTTACTATCTCTCTCACTAACAGCAGCTACATCATACAAATGCCATTAAATTGTCTTTTAAGGTTCAGAAGTGAAGTGGTCTCTAACAGATGCTCACCTCAAAGTCAACAATATTGACGATCAGTAAAACGATGATTTAAGAACTTCAAAGATTGATTTCAGTATTGGAACTTTCAAGTGTTACCAAACAAGAAATCAACAAACTATAACTATTGCTCCTGTTCCCCAATGTTTTTGATACATCTACTATTAGCTCAAATCCATGTATACATACACATATAGAATCACATGTGTCCATTGTCATCATTATGTACTAATGTATACATACAACTGTAAACTTCTTGCACTAGAATATACAGTTTTTATACTTCATTTTTATTATGCTAAATATACACACTTTATACTTACTTCTAATTTTTGCTTTTTCATTATGCTTACGTGGAGATTTTATATTTTCTTCCTTATCGTGCTAAAGCTAGAGATTTTGTTCATTTATCTGCTGTAACCAGCAATAGAACACTGTGGGTATTTACAATCTTAATATGTAGATTGCATTTGTATGAATCTGAAACAACAGCAGACACGCATGAGTCAGCACAACAGTACCAACCACTACTGTGCACATGCCTTCCCGTCCCGGAACAATAAAAGTCCGGAGCAGAACAGTGAGCTCTTTGTTGGAATTAGTTCAGCTGCCTGCTCCTGTCCTATTTACCCCAGGTCTCAATAAAGCTGCTTTGATTCATAATGTGGAATGTCACAGTCCATACACAGTCTGTATGAACTTTGCTTTGCACCTATACAGGCTCAACACTAAAGTCTACATTTATATTGCACATAGCAAAGGGGAAACTCAAACAATGCATCCTTTGGACAATCTAGCTCAGGGGTGTCCAACCGGTTCCAGAAAGGCAGGTGCGGTTGCGTGTTTTCGTTCCAACCTGAGAAAGAGCACCCCAGACTCCACCCTATTCCTCAAGTGAGTCCAGTTTTAATATATGTTATACATTTCCTGTGTTTTTTAAAATGTTTTTATGCCCTGTGCTTCTCAAACTAATTGCCCCTTGGTGGGATAAGTAAGTAAATAATATTTCTTTATATAGCGCCTTTCACAGAAGGTGTGTCACAATTTGTCTCTCACTCCACACAGAGATAGGAGCGAGGTCGCCAAATAGGAGGTGCATGCCAGACCTTTTGTGCATAGTTTTAGTGGTAGGGGAAACCGGAGCACCCGGTTTAAACCTCTGGGAGATCATACAAACTCCACTCAGAAAGACCCTGTTCCGACCAGGATTCAAACCTAGGACCTCTTGAGAAGCGAGAATGCTATTCACACAACCAATGTACCCCCAGTCCATCCATCCATCCATTTTCTTCCGCTTTATCCGTTGCCGGGTCGCGGGGGCAGCAGTCTAAGCAGAGACGCCCAGACTTCCCTATCCACACACACCTCCTCAAGCTCGTCCGGGGGGACCCCTAGGCGTTCCCAGGCCAGCTGAGAGACATAGTCTCTCCAGCGTGTCCTGGGTCTTCCCCGGGGCCTCCTCCCGGTGGGACGTGCCCGGAACACCTCCCCAGGAAGGCGTCCAGGAGGCATCCTGAACAGATGCCCGAGCCACCTCAACTGGTTCCTCTCGACGTGGAGAAGCAGCGGCTCTACTCCGAGCTCCTCCCGTGTGACCGAGCTCCTCACCCTATCTCTAAGGGAGCGCCCAGCCACTCTGCGGAGGAAGCTCATTTCGACCGCTTGTATCCGCGATCTCGTTCTTTCGGTCATTACCCACAGCTCATGACCATAGGTGAGGGAGGGAACGAAGATTGACCGGTAAATTGAGAGCTTTGCCTTTCGGCTCAGCTCCCTCTTTACCACAACGGTCCGATACAGAGACCGCATCACTGCGCACGCTGCACCGATCCGCCTGTCAATCTCACGCTCCATCCTCCCCTCACTCGTGAACAAGACCCCGAGATACTTGAACTCCTCCACTTGAGGAAGGACCTCTACCCCCAGTGATAAATAAAATTATCTGAATCTGAAACCTGAAGATTTGATGAAATTACAGTGGCTCAGTTGGTAAAGAATTGACCTTTGAACATGAAGATTGTGAGTTTGATCTCCCCATGAGACCTTCTCCACTGACTCCCACAGTCTGCTGTCGTTCTGTCCTTGAGCAAGACACTAACACACTTTGCCTGAAGCCACAGCTGAAGCCCACCTTCAGGAGGAGCAGTGAGGCGCTGGTGCTCTGTGAATTGCAGTTCTAATTGCCAACCCCTCAACCCGGAAATTGAATACGAGGGAAAAAATGGATGAATGAGTGGATTTGACAAAATGGGAGGGGTCTGATGCACTCCTGCTCAGGTTGAAACTAACTGGAACTAAAACCTCATCGCTGGACCAAAACTGCAGACTAACATGAAATAAAATCTTCTGCAGAGAGCTAAAACATTTGATTTAAATAGTATGAAATGCATCGTAAAAGCCCCCATGGACTTAAAGACAAGCACATATGTCTATAACACTCAGAACAATGTGGCTGGTTCATTCAATGTAATCATTATGTCCATATTAAATAAAAAAATAAATAGAAAAATTGTAAATGACAGCATCAAAAGTAGCATAAGTAAAAGATGCCAGACTGACCTTCACGGACTGAACTTACCTCTCTTGGGAGTGATGTAGCACTGCTTATTTCCCGTTACGTCAAACTCCTATCATATGGCATGGCTCCAAAAAAATCCCCCCCGCTGATGCAAGCTGTAGAGCGAAGGCATGTGCTCCTGCGTCCACTGTCTAGATCAAAGTAAGGCTGCGCTCTCTCCTCCCGCTTGCATAACATTACTCCAGACACATCCTCTGCTGCAGCTGTACATGTGCAGCTAGACCCAGCACCCAGCTCTCCTCTTCTCCAGCTCACCAACGGACCTGGTGCTTGTCCGGCAGCACGGCAAAGTGGCAAACAGATAAAAATCCTTATTCATACAACGCGCTATCCGGTTGTTTCCATTGCTGGCTGGCGGATCCACTGGCCCGTTGAGTATGCATGTTTTCAGCCCTGAGTCACAGCCTGAGCCACTGAACTGGACTGATTTGAATTGTCACTTTGCGTTTATCATTGGTTCGCCTATGGGCCAATGGCTTCCTTCACTGAGAGAATGAGAGCTGCAGATATAGACAGTGATCGTGTTGGACATAATCACAGCTTTTTTTAATACATGAGGTGGGCAGGTTGTAGGAGGAAGTGTCAGAGAATGATACAGAATCGACACAATGCCATATGATAGCAGTGGCCAGGTCAAGGACGTGATCTTAAAGTATTAAAGATTAGTCACCCGGATTTAGATGGCGCCCAGAGCGAGGTGTGAAGGCGAGCAGGAGCCAGTGTTAAGGTGGTGAAGTGACGCCTAAGTTAAAGAGGCCGTAGCTCCGGGTAATCTATTGTAATAATTCTGTCTTTGTCATAGTGTGGATTTTATTTCAGTTTTACTTCCTGTCTTGTAACCTTGTTGATTGTCTGCCCCGCCCTGTTGTTTTTCACCTGTATCTGCCATGTGTTCCTGGTCTCTGTATTTAGTTTGGATTTTTGGTGTTTGTTAATTACCTGGACTTTTATCTTACTATCATTAAATCATCATTTTTGGCATGCTTGCATTTGGCGTCTTTCATTCACTTCACCCCATGACACTTTTTGTTCTTTCTTTCAATAGATTAAAACAAAGAGATCCTTATATAAAAAAGTTACATAGAATAAAATCTTTAGCTTCAGCATTAGAAGGGAGCAATCTATAATCTTTAGCAGAATGAAGAGGCAAGAGTTAAGTACAACATTTCTGACTTTAGCATAATAAAGAGGTATAGAGAAGCAGACATAAAATAAAATAGTGTACATTTGCAAGAAGTATATCTGTATGTATTCATCCGTACATACAACCATTAGCAGCATTAGGGTATGGGACAAAGGGATGTAGGAGTAATGTGACAGTGGACACGTGGTTTTATATTCAACACTCTGACATTATAAAGCTATTATTTTTGCATAGATAATTATAGATATTCAGATTTGTGTTACAAATATTATGGCGAAACATAGTATTTCTTAAGCTTGCTTTAAAATTCAGTTGCTTTTCATATGAGCGACTTCAACAAATCATAATAAATAATAATAAATCAGTTTTGTAGGACTCAAAAGACGCTTCACTTGGCATTATTCACAACTACAACTGGAGCCACAGTTGCTCAGGGGCAGACATCTGTGTCATTAGCTCTTCCAACTATACTCAAATAAAAACATACTGAGTACAGTAGTAAATTAAGATATATTACCACTAGTATTGTATTATACTACTGTATCTTACTGACATTATAAAACATGCAATTTTCCTTACCGATGAAGGAGGGTCTAAGGACACTCAACATTCAACGGCATTTATGGCCTTTATCAACATTTATGGACATTTCCCATTTACCCCTCATTTGGATCTATGGATCTATGTGTTTTCTATCATTGCATTTCTTGAGTTTGAACTGATTCTCTTATCTGTTTTAGCAAATCAACAGCTTTGTAAAGTCCTCTGTGAAAGATACTGTTGTGATTTTGGCTATACACAGATAAACTGAATGGAATCTTAGAAGTGTGCTCGACACATTATCAGTTTAATTAGCAGAGAGGATTTATCCTGGTGAGAGGCAGGTCCACACTTCCCTACTCTGCAACCAGTGTCGCAGTGGGCATAAAGTGACACAAAAATAGTAAAAAAATGCTCAATTGTAGCTACATTGTATGTTCATTCTTTGACTGCCTTAAAACAAGATTCTCAACAGTTTTTGAAATAAGACTGAATGGCTTTGTCCCATGGTCAAATCTTGTTTTGGGACAGACTGAATGTGCTAAAATTAAGAGAAAAACCAATAGATTCAAGCAATCATTACCTCCTATTTGATAATTTTTTGCAGTGCATGTCAAAGTGCCTGTTCTGATAATCAATCGAGCACTTCACCATCTATTGTTGGTGGAGAGAGGCGAGAGGAGAGAGGCGAGAGGCGAGAGGAGAGAGGCGGGAGGAGAGAGGCGAGAGGAGAGAGGCGAGAGGAGAGAGGCGGGAGGAGAGAGGCGAGAGGAGAGAGGCGAGAGGCGAGAGGAGAGAGGCGGGAGGAGAGAGGCGAGAGGAGAGAGGCGAGAGGAGAGAGGAGAGAGACGAGAGGAGAGAGGAGAGAGGAGAGAGGAGAGAGACAAGAGGAGAGAGGAGAGAGGAGAGAGGAGAGAGGAGAGAGGCGAGAGGAGAGAGGCGGGAGGAGAGAGGCGAGAGAGAGAGAGGCGGGAGGAGAGAGGCGAGAGGAGAGAGGCGAGAGGAGAGAGGCGGGAGGAGAGAGGCGAGAGGAGAGAGGCGAGAGGAGAGAGGCGAGAGGCGAGAGGAGAGAGGCGGGAGGAGAGAGGCGAGCGGAGAGAGGAGAGAGGCGAGAGGAGAGAGGCGGGAGGAGAGAGGCGAGAGGAGAGAGGAGAGAGGCGAGAGGAGAGAGGAGAGAGGCGGGAGGAGAGAGGCGAGAGGAGAGAGGCGAGAGGAGAGAGGCGGGAGGAGAGAGGCGAGAGGAGAGAGGCGAGAGGAGAGAGGAGAGAGACGAGAGGAGAGAGGAGAGAGACGAGAGGAGAGAGGCGAGAGGAGAGAGGAGAGAGGCGAGAGGAGAGAGGCGGGAGGAGAGAGGCGAGAGGAGAGAGGCGGGAGGAGAGAGGCGAGAGGAGAGAGGCGAGAGGAGAGAGGCGGGAGGAGAGAGGCGAGAGGAGAGAGGCGAGAGGAGAGAGGCGAGAGGCGAGAGGAGAGAGGCGAGAGGAGAGAGGCGGGAGGAGAGAGGAGAGAGGCGGGAGGAGAGAGGCGGGAGGAGAGAGGAGAGAGGCGAGAGGAGAGAGGAGAGAGGAGAGAGGCGAGAGGAGAGAGGCGGGAGGAGAGAGGCGAGAGGAGAGAGGCGGGAGGAGAGAGGCGGGAGGAGAGAGGCGAGAGGAGAGAGGCGAGAGGAGAGAGGCGAGAGGCGAGAGGAGAGAGGCGAGAGGAGAGAGGCGAGAGGAGAGAGGAGAGAGGCGAGAGGAGAGAGGCGGGAGGAGAGAGGCGAGAGGAGAGAGGAGAGAGGCGAGAGGAGAGAGGAGAGAGGCGGGAGGAGAGAGGCGAGAGGAGAGAGGCGAGAGGAGAGAGGCGGGAGGAGAGAGGCGAGAGGAGAGAGGCGAGAGGAGAGAGGAGAGAGACGAGAGGAGAGAGGAGAGAGACGAGAGGAGAGAGGCGAGAGGAGAGAGGAGAGAGGAGAGAGGCGAGAGGAGAGAGGCGGGAGGAGAGAGGCGAGAGGAGAGAGGCGGGAGGAGAGAGGCGAGAGGAGAGAGGCGAGAGGAGAGAGGCGGGAGGAGAGAGGCGAGAGGAGAGAGGCGAGAGGAGAGAGGCGAGAGGCGAGAGGAGAGAGGCGAGAGGAGAGAGGCGAGAGGAGAGAGGCGGGAGGAGAGAGGAGAGAGGCGGGAGGAGAGAGGCGGGAGGAGAGAGGAGAGAGGCGAGAGGAGAGAGGAGAGAGGAGAGAGGCGAGAGGAGAGAGGCGGGAGGAGAGAGGCGAGAGGAGAGAGGCGGGAGGAGAGAGGCGGGAGGAGAGAGGCGAGAGGAGAGAGGCGAGAGGAGAGAGGCGAGAGGCGAGAGGAGAGAGGCGAGAGGAGAGAGGCGAGAGGAGAGAGGCGGGAGGAGAGAGGAGAGTGGCGGGAGGAGAGAGGCGGGAGGAGAGAGGAGAGAGGCGAGAGGAGAGAGGCGGGAGGAGAGAGGCGAGAGGAGAGAGGCGGGAGGAGAGAGGCGAGAGGAGATAGGCGGGAGGAGAGAGGAGAGAGGAGAGAGGCGAGAGGAGAGAGGCGGGAGGAGAGAGGCGAGAGGAGAGAGGCGAGAGGAGAGAGGCGAGAGGAGAGAGGCGAGAGGCGAGAGGAGAGAGGCGAGAGGAGAGAGGAGAGAGGCGAGAGGAGAGAGGAGAGAGGAGAGAGGCGGGAGGAGAGAGGCGGGAGGAGAGAGGCGAGAGGAGAGAGGCGGGAGGAGAGAGGAGAGAGGCGAGAGGCGAGAGCGAGGAAAGAGGAGAGAGGGAGCAGGGTGTGTCTCTGCTTCCCATTCGAACTAAACAGGAGGTTACTGCCCTCTGCTGGTGGATGGTCTGAACTACCAATACATTCAAATCAGTGGGAAAGAAATCTATGATGACAAATGCAATGATCTAATTTTCCTGTGTAATAAAAGGTAATTCAGTTAGGGATTGTCTTATCTACATTTAGATTAGGTTACAAACGATGCTACAGTATTTGTAAATACAGTCATTTGATTTGATTTACGAGTAAGATAGGTTTGGATTAGATTTCTCCACGGACCAGGCAGGGTAAAGATTTGCAGCGATTACATAATTACTCAATTATTATTATGTACTCACTTGACCACAAAGTAACAGCAGCCTGGTTCACTAAGGAAATAAACAATTATTGTTTGTTATCATCTACAGTTTGGTTAATCTTTGCTAATATAGTAGCGTATTAGCAAAAGTTGGCAATCACTGGTACGACTTAGTAAGTGACCAGTGTGGTCCTTAAACTTAAAGGTATACAGGAGGATTACTCCACATTTTAGGAAAGAACCACCCTCCACGTTTTACCACTTGTCACCAGAATGATTGACAATTAGGAGAACCAATAGTCAGGATGATCCACCCGGAAGTAGAAAATCCTCCTATATGCCTTTAAGTGTTATAATGGATTTTGCATTCTATAAGGACCAGATGTATTTGATTAAAAGATCCTTTATTTGTCCCACAGAATATAAATGTCAGTGTTGCATCACTGCTTACAGAACAGTAGGAGTGAGGGGCTTACCAGATGAATGAACAATATCTCTAAAACTACTAAAACAAAAAATCTATATCTTTAGCATAATAAATAGGCAAAGTATAAAATCTGTAGCTTAGCATAATAAAGGAGCATTAGTATGACATTCCAGTCCCTTGTATCTAAACATGTAAACAGATGGATGGTTTTGCAGACTCTCAGAGAAGAAGCGTGTGTTTACTCACCTGATGACAGATTTCCTCATGGAAGCGAGTGAGAGAACCGTCCACCATCACCAGGGCACAGCGAGGGACTGGGTTGATGCAGCCAAGACCAAAACTCCAGAAGATGCAAGAAGATGGAGCACAGCGGCTGCGTCTCCTCGTCTTCCTCTCTGGATTAAGGCTCTCTTTCACTTCTCCTCTTCCTCTTCTTTGCTCGTCTGTCATGGGCAGGTCACGTGACTCCAACGAGCCCAGGCGGCTCATGTCCAAGCAGAGACAGAGGGCTCGTCTTGGACCAGCCTAGAGCTAAAAATAGATGTTTGAGTTCATCATTGTCTCCGTAGATGATGGTGAAGAAGAAGCCTGAAGCCTGAAGACAAAGCAGAGATTTATCTGCCAGGTTGAAATATAAGACACAGAATCTTTTTTGCAAAACATTATAAAATATAATGTAATACATGCTTGAATCGAGTGGTTTTTATCTTGAGTACATGACTGTCTTAAAACAAGATTTTCCAATGGAACTAAGCCATTTAGTCTTATTTTGCTTTATTTTCTCATTCCAATTGGAATAATGTTTATTTCTTTTTTATACAAGATCCTTTTGCTTTGTATCATTGGCAAATCTTGTTTTAAGGCAGTCAAAATGTGCTCAAATGAATATACATGTTGCCAAATTTGAGCAATCTAATTATCATACATAATTTATTTGTGATTAAAAATACATGACAAACACATTTTAGAGTTTAAATATTAACTATTAAATAGAAAAAATGATTTATATACAAATGATGTACATTATATACATTCATTGTTATAGGTTGGCCAAGACAAGTTCTTTTGTCGTTATTGAAAATAAACACACAACTTTTCACTTCTTTAAGAAATTAAGAATGAAGAACCACATGCCTCTCTCAATCCCTCAGAGTACATATATACACTGCAAAAAGCACATTTGAGCACATTCTCACTGCCTTAAACCAAGATTTGCCAATGGGACAAAGGAAAATGATCTTGTATCAAAAATATATTAGAAGACAGTCCAAATGTTCTCATATGAAGACAAAAAACCACTTGATTCAAATTATTATAAAATAAATCTAGACACTAGATAGTCTCTGTGTTCTTGGAGCAGGCATTCGGCTTGCAACCCATGTGAACCCATGAAAAGGTCACATGTCCAATACTCTAACTGAAGGCTACGATTGTTGAATGTCAGAGTAGACAAGATCACAGGGAAAATGCCAACGATGCCCGAGTCTGGCCATTTGTTTATATTGCATTTGACAAGACAGAGTTTTTATGGGATTGGAATTTATGAAGCACAACGTAATTTTGTTGCATGTGAAGGTCCGACACATACGCTTCAAAAGTCATGGATGAATTCTTGCATTGCGTTATAATATTTCAGTTATTTTCAGTCCTTTAAAGAACATTATCACTGTGAGCGGTAGTGGTGGTTGAAAAAAAGTATTCTGTTAAGTATCACAATATTTGCAAACACAATTAAAGTTGCAATATTCTTTTCAAATAAATATGTCATTTCATGAACCTCCATAATCCACTGCACCAGACACTCCAATATAACATCTCTAACTTTTCTCTATACAAAAGCAAGTATAAAATCTCTAACTTTGAAGAAGAACGTAAATTTTCTAGAGTAAGAAAAATAGTTGTCTGTATGCATCTGTAAATGTCAACTTATAAAGAAAATGAACCAACAGTACTGGTCTTCATGGTTGAAACGCACATCTTCTGATCTTATGAAGTATTTCCTGACAAACCCCACCTGTAAAAACAAGTTCTAGTTATAACCATCCCATCTTTGGTCCTCAGTCTGCATCCAGGCTCCTCCTCGGTCGCTTTCTCTCTATCTCTCTATGTACCTCTCTCTCTCTGTCCACAGAGAGTCTCTCCCTGGACTCTCACTTCCATCAACTTTTCTACTTCAACTGCGACTTCAGAGCAAAGACCATTTTACAGGTAGGAAAAAAAATCACATTCTATGAACATTCTTTAAATAATGTAATCAGAAATTTTACATATGTAATATATTTTTTAATTATATCTAAGATATTTGAAGACAGAATTAAAACATCATAATTATATGTTAAACTTGTTATTCTTAAGATTGTACTTTTTACTATGGACTATTTTATTATTCACAGACAAAGCAAGGATTTTAAACTTGCTCCGCTATTATGATCAAGTAAGAGATGTTATACTTCTTTATTATACTAAAGTTACAGATTGTATTGTATCTCAGTCTAGAGTTGTGGTTCACCTATCTTGTGTTGTGTGCTCCTCATTCCTACTGTTCTGTAACTGGTGATGCAACACTGACATTTCCCCACTGGTTGACGAATAACGGATCTCTTAATCTTATACTTTTATGAATGTTGTGACCTTCAACTATGTGATCTTGTAAAGCCCTAAATCACAACAGTACTTATCTCAGAGGACTTTACAAAGCTGTCGATTCGTCAAAACAGAGCAGAGAATCAAACAGTACAAGAAATGCAATGATAAAAAAACACAGAGTTATTGGGCCATAAGGGGAAGATCACCAATGTCCATAAATGTCAATAAAGTCCATAAATGTTTTTGAATGTCGAGTGTCCTGGATCATCACCACCGTCTTTAGACCCTCCTGCATTGGCGAGGATACACGTGAAGATACGAGTAAATAAGTGAGCCTTGTGTGTGTCCGCAGAATGCCTTTGGGAGGAGGTAATAAATGCGGCTGCTGCCAGAAGACGGTATACTTTGCCGAGGAAGTGCAGTGCGAGGGGAAGAGCTGGCACAAATCCTGCTTTCTGTGCAGTAAGTATTCACTCCTCACATAATCTTCTTATGTTGTCAAGTGACTCACGCAAACCATTCTGTAAAAATGCAGATAAAACGAGGAATGTGAGGTATTTGACGAGAGAAAGCAGAGCATCCTCAGGTTTTGAAGAGAGAGAGAGAGAAATCCCACTCCTTATTTGGAGAGAGTGCAAACATGTGACAAAGTTTTCCTTTTATGGCAGAGGAGGACGCAGCATGGCTCTGCTCAAACACAAGGCAGTGTTTATCTGTGTTTATCCGAGCTGAGAAGGATGTGGTGTGAAAATCAACTGAGGGAAGAGGCAAACATGAAAGTAGGTTAGTTCAGAGATATGTGTTTTTGTAGAGATAGAGAGATAAATAGATAGATAGTTGGACAGAGATTGATAGTTGGAGAGAGATAGGTAGATCAAATTGATTATTGATCCCAAAATGACAAGTCCAGATGTCCAGCAGCAGAAACACATCCATCCATACAAACACATAAGTAAAAGTTTCTAACTAACTAACAACAGTGCACATGTTCAACTTGTTTAATGTTTGAGAAAAGTTCAAAGTGAAAACAATCGTATTCAACCACACTGTGATCTGTGACTGTGCCAAACATTCCTCAAAGCACAAGAACAATAGTTAAAGAGCTCACTGTTTATAGGACAAGCACACTCAAAACACAACTCCCAAGTAATATCTGAGATTTCTCCAGTATGGGATCTCTTAATTACTGCTTTTTAAGAGAGAATATTTACGAATGTATGACTCGTATATAATTCAAAATACCATCCATCCATCCATCCATTCATTTTCTACCCTTTAATCCATCTCTGGGTCAGGGGGATGGCAATCAGAGATGCCACCCAAGTCTCATAGCACCAGCCCTAATTCAAAATACCTTTGAATAATAAAGTAATGTAATAAGCATTCCCAGGTACCAATGTTCTTACAAATGTTGGAAAACATTTTATAGAGTTCTTACTTAACTCTTAAGAAATTGGGTTTTTAGAGTTCCTTGCAGATGCAGGAGGTTCCAAGGACAGTGGTGGACATTCGACATTCAATAACATTTATGGACATTGGTCATCGCATTTCTTGTGTTTTAACTGTTTTATTCTCTGATCTCTGTTGACGAATCAACGGTAACCCTAAGTCCTCTGAGCTAACTCCTTTTTTGATTTAGGGCTATACCAAACTAAATTGAATTGAACTGGTTCTTCTATTCTGTGTATTCAGTGGTCTGTAAAAAGAACCTGGACAGCACCACTGTGGCGGTCCATGTGGATGAAATCTTCTGCAAATCCTGCTACGGGAAGAAATATGGACCAAAAGGTTATGGTTTTGGGGGCGGAGCAGGAACCCTGAGTACGGACACCGGTGAAAGGCTGGGAATCAAGCCTGAAGAGTGAGTTTTTGCTGTGGGCTATAGATGTCAAACATAATATTATCACGCATTTATTGATCCATGTTTTTGACAGACAAGCTCCTCATCGCCCGACCAATAATCCTAACGCTTCCAAGTTTGCCCAGAAATCCGGCGAGTCGGATGTTTGTCCTCGTTGTGGGAAGACCGTGTATGCCGCTGAGAAAGTCATTGGGGGAGGCAATGTAAGTCCCTTTAAGACATGGGTCTACAACCTGTAGCTCGAGAGCAGATCAAGATTCACTTTATTTGCCATCTGCAGTAAAACCACATTGTAAAACATTTGCAAACGTTCCCAGTGTGCACCAGACAAGTGCATACATAAAACAAGGTAAAAAATACCAGGAAAAAATCAAGCTAACAAAGGTCAGGGAACAATTGTCACAGTGAAATTAATCAAATATATCTAGTAGCTCGGTACAACCCTTTTCAGCTCACCAAAGAACACGTTTATGAGTCCACACTTATTCTAGGCAACGCGGGTAAAATTTAACTTGTGTCCTCAGAGGTCCCCCATCACAGTACTAACCAGGCCCTGCGCTTCTCAGCTTCAGGTCTGACGCTGTTTGGCTTTAACATGCAGGTATGTCCACAATAATATCAATGGAATATATACCATTATTTTAAGAATGTCAAAACGTTTTCAAATCAACATAAAAATTACTAAATCCATTTTAGCACAACATTTGGTTATCTGTCTAACTAGCTCTCTGCCAGTGTTGTCCTGAAAAAGTAGCTCTCCATAGGAAAAGGTTGGAGACCCCTGCAATAACAACAATATTACACTTTTTCGTTCAGGAGAGACTCAAACAGACAAAACATGGGAGTTGTATATTGCTTGACAGTAATCTGACACAAGATAAATTACACATATGACTCTGAGAACAATATTTTCAAGATCACATATATTGTTGCTGTACAGAAATGTGGTTAGGATTTGACGTTTAGACCCCGGCAGAAAAGATCATGAGATGAATTCCCCCGGGGCCTAGACCCTGGTGGCGGTAGCTAGGAACAGAATGAAAGAAGCTGCTCCGGAACGAGGCTGGGGAGGAGGAGGGTTGTGGTGTGAATGAAGTTTCTGCTCGGATGGAGCTTCATACGAAGCTTGATGTGAACAGCGCCTGAAAACTGCCAGGTAAGGGCAGTGTGGCGCTACAACTGAGTGTGATTGACCGATGCTGTTGCAGTGAAGCAGCAGGAGGAGGACTTGGAACGTCGTGAGCTTAGTTCTTCCTGTCCGCTTTAGGTTCACCATCACAGCTTTGATACTTTTTCTGTTTCTAGTCCTGGCACAAGGCCTGCTTTCGCTGTGCTCAGTGCGGAAAAGGCCTGGAGTCCACAACCCTCGCAGACAGAGATGGAGAGATCTTTTGTAAAGGTATTTCCAGCTTTCTCTTGAAAATGAAGGCTATTCGTTAAATGTTACAGATTTTATTTATTTTTTGCTGATCCAGGTTGTTACGCTAAGAGTTTTGGTCCGAAGGGCTTTGGTTTTGGTCAGGGGGCAGGCGCGCTTGCTCACTCTCAGTGAGGCGTGTGGCAACAGATCACCTTTGACCTGCACCTGCTCTCTGCTCTTCACCTGAGGCCTCACATCCTTCACTGCTGCTTCAAGAGGAGACTGAAGAAAGGCTAAACAACTGTGTCGCTGTCTGAGTTGGATGTTGGATTATACCAGAACTACTATAAGAAACGCTAAATAAACAAAAACAAATTGAATAAAGATATTTTATTCTATATATATACACACACACACATCTCTTCCATCTTATAATGTTGAGGATTAGGGCTTAATTCATTGTAAATTGAATTGCAGATGGGGCGACAGTAGCTCAGTTGGTAGAGCATTGGCTTTTGGGCCTGGAGGTCGTGAGTTCGAATCCCACCATGGGACCTACTCCAACTGCTCCCACTGATGACTGCTGTCGTTGTGTCCTTGGGCAAGACACTTAACCCCACGTTGCCTGAAGCCCCCGCTGAAAGATCAAGGCTGTATCACAACTGAGGGAGCAGCCATCTTCCTGTGGACCCACCCCCTGCAGAAGATCAGTGAGGGACTGGTGCTATGAGCATAGGGGTTGAAAATGAAATGAAAAATGTTTTTAAAATTTTCAAACAATTCTAATTTTCTAGTTTATCTGCATTATAGCTATCCATAGTATATAGAGTAATGTAGTATAAAATAATAACATAGACTAATGTTCTTTATTTATTTTTTAAACACACACACACACGCCTAGCCAATACATACAGTATGTTACAAAACAAACTGCATGGAATGATAAAATATGAGGTAATAAATGCTTGATATAAGTGTCTTTTATATGAATTTAAGCAGAGTCTTAAAACAAGATTTTCCAATGAGCAAGCAAGCAAGCAAAGTTTATTTATATAGCACCTTTCTCAGACAGAAGGTCACAAAGTGCTTCACATCAACAAGCAATAATTAAAAAAACAAGAAAGAAAAATAAAAAAAAAATTACACAATCAAACAATAGTGGAGACAGTCATATCAGCCCATAAAACCGTACTTTCAAAACGCTCGACTGAACAAGAACGTCTTGAGTTGGGATTTAAATTTATCAACAGAGTCAAGTGATCGTAGAGAGAGCGGGAGATCGTTCCAGAGTCTAGGTGCGACAGCCTGGAAGGATCGGTCTCCTCTGGTTCGATAACGAGTGCGAGGAACCATCAAGAGATTTTTATCTGCAGACCTCAGAGAACGAGAGGGGACATAGGGCTGAATCAGATCTCTGATGTAAGAAGGCGTCTGACCATATAAGGATCTAAAAGTCAGCACCAAGATTTTAAATTGAAACCGGTAAGACACCGGCAGCCAGTGGAGGGCTTTAAGAATTGGGGTAATATGAGCCCTTCTATTAGTGCAAGTTAAAATCCTCGCTGCAGAGTTTTGAACCATTTGGAGACGAGACAGCTCTTTTTTGTTTAGACACGAAAATAAACTGTTGCAATAGTCTAAACGTGACGACACAAAAGCATGAATAATGAGCTCCAAATCATTACGTGACACAATTTTCCTCAGTTTAGAGATGTTCCTCAACTGAAAGAAACAATTTCTACTAAGCTGTTTAGAGTGGTGATCTAATGACATGTTTTTGTCAAAAATCACACCAAGGTTCCTGAGACTCTATGCAGCGGACTGACTGAGATCTCCCAAATACTGGTTTATCCCTGGGATAAGGTCATCAGGAGCAATCACAAGGGTTTCTGTTTTATCAGCATTAAGCTGCAGAGAATTTTTACTTAACCATAGTTTTATATTTTTCAAACAGTTGACTAAAGAGTTCAGCCTTCCCATCTCAGAAGGCTTAAAAGAACAGTACAACTGGATATCGTCAGCAAACAAGTGATAAGAAACATCAGCGAACTCTTGAATGACCTTTCCCAATGGAATTATATAAAGTAGAAATAGAACCGGACCCAAAACAGAGCCCTGCGGAACACCACAGAATAATTTAGCTGAATCAGACATGATTTGATTTGCTGCAACACTAAAAAACTCCGACCAGATAAGTAAGAGGAAAACCAATTTAGAACTGGCCCTGACAGTCCAACCAAGCCACTCAATCTGTTTAGCCTTATGTGGTGGTCGACGGTATCAAACGCTGAGGACAGGTCAAGCAGAACAAGAACAGAGCATTTTCCAGAGTCAGCAGACATCATTATGTCACTGGATACTTTCAACAATGCTGTTTCCGTGGAGTGATGTTTTCGGAAACCAGATTGGAAAGTGTCATGAATGTTATGATGATCCAGGTAGCACGACAATTGTTTTGAGACCACCTTCTCTAAGATCTTGGACAGGAAAGGGAGTTTGGAGATAGGTCTGTAATTTTTTGGGTCCGCTTTGTCCAGATTTGTCCTTTTAAGTAATGGCTCTACTATGGCATGTTTAAATGAAACTGGAAACACGCCACTTGAAAGGGAAAGATTTATCATTTTAGTGACCCAAGGGCCAATTACATCAAGTACTTTTATCAAAAGTCTGCAAGGAAGGACATCAGAAAAGCAAGAGGATGGTTTCATCTTCGTGATCAATGTTTCAATCTCTGTTTCAGTAACAGGCTTAAAGGAAGACCAACTGTGTGGTACAGGCTCAGTAGCAACAGAACTGTCACACAAAAGTGGTGGAAATTGGTCTTTTATGACCTTTATCTTGTCAATAAAAACCCTAAGGAATTTATTGCTATCAGCTTTACAGGAGACCGGTGTAATAGCCGCAGCAGGACACACAATAGAATTTATAGTATCAAACAATACTTTAGGGGTTTTCTTATTCACAATTATCAGCTGACGAAAATAGTCAGAGCGGGCCTTTTCCATCATTTCATTAAAAGAGGAAATAAGATCCCTGAGATGTAACCTGTGAACTCGTTTTCCACAAACGTTCCGTTTTGCGACACAATCTCTTTAGATTTTGGATTCTCTCATTTATCCAAGGAAAAGCTTTTTTTTGTGTTGGCGACATTGATTTTATAGGGGCCACCTGATCTAAGATTTGACATGCAGTGACCATTAAAACAATCAATTAAACTGTCCACATCAAGACAATCCATAAACAAGTGAGGATCAAACATATTTGAAAAACTGTCAGCTGTGGTTGCAGCAATAATGCGTCTCTGTGATTTGGTTTCTGAGGTCACAGACTCGGGAGTAATATTACAGTCAAACAGAACACAACTGTGATCACTTATGTGGACATCCTCCACTCTCAAGTTTGTAATATCCAGGCCTAGGGAAAAAACTAGGTCTAGAGTGTGTCCCCTCTGATGAGTGGGGACAGACACATGCTGCTCAAAGTTAAAAGTTTCAGTCAATGTTAAAAGATCAATTGCAGGGCAAGATGTGCTGTTATCCACATGAATATTAAAATCTCCAAGGATTAAGAACTACTGCTTTATCATCTCGTTGCAAAGAAGACATTTCTTGTAACTTTCTAACACAAGATCATTTTGCTTGTCCCATTGCAAATCTTGTTTTAAGGCAGTCAAAATCAGTCAAAAGGTAAATTTTGCCAAATCTAAGCAAAATTTGACACATTTTTCATCACTTGTTTCAGTGCAGTAAATGAAGGACATATACAACACATAGGATATAGGCCATAAAGGCATTATTTAAACCCTAACCCATACTACAGAAAAAAAGCATTTTCTTGATCTTTTTGGGACTTATCGCTTAGTCTATATGTGCCACAACTTCCTAGAGACAGCCTGGAACACACCACACTAGCAGTTAATCCCACACGCTGAATATACAGTAGAATTATTATCAGCTGCCAAGGGCCAACACTGCAGTTCACAGCGTCATATATCAAATCAGCCGAAGGCATATAAGACACTGACTCAGCTGTGGCTCACTCGCCCAAAATGCTGTGACACAACCACAACAGGGTAGCTTTAATATGTACACGTTTTATTATGTGTAAGTTCTAATGTAATGTAAACAGACCAGCATAAAGATAACATTCACTCAATTATTATCAAAATCTAAGAGGGAGAGTGAGCCCTGCTGTGGGTTGGGGATACGCATCAGGTCCTCATCAGGATCCAAGATGCACAAAGCAGTCAGAGGGGAATTTTGAGTTTAACCCTTGTGCTACGCTCTGGTCAAAGTGAACCGCCACAGTGATTAAAAGTAGACACTTTTAAACCCTAAATTAGGATGTATAAGGGTCCAAATGACCTGGGGCTGGTCAAGATAGGAAAAATGTACTGTAGGGTATTTTTAACTCAATGTGCCAGGTCAATTCATAATTCGAACTGACAACCCAAATGAAAGACTCACATTCTCTTCATGTGTTTGAATCTGTAATTAAGTCAATAAATCAAATATAGTCGTAAATCAAATACTGTACCTTTTATATAGGAAGACATGATTGACGTTTATACTTTACATCTTCCCGCTCCATGCTTTGCTGGGAGTTTACATTTGAGAGCGACAGCATCACATGTCAATGCAGTTTGTCTATGTTTAGTTAGAAAGCTTTGTCCAAATGTATACTGGAAACTGCATTCCTACTTTAAAACCACGGCTTAACATTGTCTGTAGCTATTAGCCTAATCAACAGCGGCCCTGTCGTCTCTAAGTACAGACACATCGACAATTTATCCATGAGAAGTGGATAAAACCAACAAAACAAAACACAACATGAACTAAAATGTTCTCTCGGAGAGTGCATACCCCTGCCAAGAAGGATCATCTCAAATTGTCCATGACGTCTTTCATTACCTCCCATCTACACACTAAAGATCACAAAATCTTAGGCAGGGTAACAACCACAACTATGGAGGTGGGAATTGGAAAAAGTGTGACGATGGAATTGTGATTTGATTCTGCAATATAGTGCAATTCATGTCCCACACATTCTTCAGTCAAGTCATTACACAAACAGAGGAAAATGAGACCGATCAAGTCAAATGCCACATTGATGATGGCCTGCGCATTAACTAGAGCGCAAACACTTAGGAGGGTAGAGCAAAAACTTTATCCTTAAACATTCAGGAGATTCCCCGCCAATAAACAACAATAGCAGCAGCTTGGATAACTATACACAGAATTACAAAGAAGAACTATATCAGTGGCTCAGATGGAAGAGCATTGGTCTTTGAACCTAATGGTAGTGGGTTCGATCCCCCCACGACCCATGTCCTCTGCTCCCACTGATGACTGCTGTCGTTGTGTCCCTGGGCAAGACACTTAAGCCCACTTTGCCTGAAGCCCCTGCTGAAACACCAAGGACATATCTTTGTTGAAGGAGCAGCCATCTTCCTGTGGACCCACCACCTGCAGGAGGATCAGAGGGACTGGTGCTTTGTGAATTGGGTGGTAGCTCTGATTGCACTGACACAGAAATGGATAAATAAAGAGATGAAAATGTCATGATGAAATGAAACTATGAAGTAAAGTTAAAATAACAATGAAGACTGATGTTGGACACAGTGAGAGTTCCACTGGCCTCATGGTCTGTGTGTGTGCTTCTATTTAAGTCTCTTGTGATAGAGAGGAGGGACAAAGAGAGCAGAGATAAATGTTCCCCTGTGTTCGTCTCCCCATCACTGTGTTGTCAGCATCCAAGCCATTCGCTCTACGGTAAGCTCTGCCACTATTCACACATGTTTTGTTATGTTATGCATTAGATTAGTTGGATTAATTGTAACAAGATATTCAGCAATCACTGTTCACTGATGTAATAGTTCTCAATTTTAAAATTAGACCTACATTGAAATCTGTGTTTTATTATACCTACAAGTTAAGTGATTTTAAACTAATAGTAGATAGTGGTCAGTACTATTATTATCCATACCCATGATACAATGTTAAGATTACAAAGCACCATTTTGGATGTAAATAACAAAGAAAAACCCAAAAAACTTTTACTATTGATGTATTATTATCATTATTTTAAACTAAAACAAACACCTTTATAAACCATGAAAACCTTTTGTTTACGTATTCATGCCACATCTGCAGTGTCTGATAAAATGCGGTAAACCTGAGCGAGTAGATTTCCGAGAAAATGTTGTGTGTGTCTCTGTGTTGTCTCCAGTGTTGGGGCAGTGTAGACGGGGCAACAGTGTGAGGTGGGGGGCTGTAGGCTTTAGCTGTGTTTGCTTCTGCCTGTCTGCCATCACTTTGCCTTGTGCTGTGCTGTGATATCACCAGAGGGAGGTGAAAGAAGGACTCCAGCTCAGTTTACAATGCAATTTTTCATCGCTCAACAGCCCATGGGTAAATCCCCAACATGTTTTTCCATTGTAGCAGAGGCTTGAAAGGATGTTTGTAGAGTGGAGCTAAAATTGACAGCATAGTTGAGACTGTCTGCCGGATTAAATCTGAGTGGCCCCCACTGTCCACCACTTCAAAAGCCAAACAGTTTTATTTTTGTCTTGCAGGAGACAGGAATACCAAAGATGCCTGAGAAAGCGTAAGTGGATTGTCTATCTATTATTCTTTCCATTGAGTATCTCATATCAAATGGGTCATGAATGTTATTAAAGTGCTTATAAGATCTTTCAGTAATGCCACATTTGTTTTTCCTTTGTTTTGTCCCACCTTTATTCCCACAGACCAGAGGTAAGTGATAACATAACACCAGTAAAACAATGGTCATAGTATTAGTCATCTTAACAAATAGGAAGGTAACATTTCTCCTTGTAGAAATCAAAGATTTCTGCATCCCGCAAGCTCATGCTGAAGGTAGCTAGGTTCTGGTGGAAGTTCTCAAACCAGAGATTGAGTAAATCTGGTTGTAATTAGGTTTTTTCTTTCTAGAGCTTGATGGTGGCAAAAGCCAAAGAGGAACTGGAGCAGGAGCTGTTGGAAAAAGAAGAAGTAAAGGCCAGATACCTTGATACAAAAGCTCCTCAGATGCAAACTGACACACTGACCCTGGAGCAGCTCAAGGTGTGTTTCGTTGACTTCTTAAAATGACACGTTTAAGCTTTGATACTGTCCCTTCACCTTAGACCCTGTGTGAAGAGCTCCACACCAAAATTGACGTGGTGGATGAGGAGCGGTATGACATTGAAGCCAAAGTTCTACACAACACCAGAGAGGTAAGTGTCCAATCACAATCATGAGATAAAGTCAGCAGAGAACATTGTCAGGACCAACAAAGAATAGAAATTCACATGTTGCAATGGACAGAATAATGCACTTATAGGGTTGCATTATGTACAAATAAAGACAACTTTTTACAGCAGTGATCTATCAATTGTTTCAGATCAAAGACCTAAACATCAAGGTTCTGGATCTGAGAGGGAAGTTCAAGAGGCCGAGTCTGAGGAGAGTCAGGGTCTCAGCTGACGCCATTCTGCGCTCGCTACTTGGCTCAAAACACAAAGTCTCACTGGATCTACGAGCAAATCTGAAATCAGTAAAGAAAGAAGACACAGAGAAGGTATGTATAAGAAATGATAACGCTACAACCTTGCCATGAACAGACTTCACAGGGGGAAAGTGTTTTTCTTCACAGGAGAAAAGTGTAGAAGTGAGCGACTGGAGGAAGAATGTGGAGGCCATGTCAGGGATGGAGGGCCGCAAGAAGATGTTTGATGCAGCAAAGGGGACAAACCAATAAATATGTGAAGAGAATCTACCGCCCTGATTAAACGGACATAAAAAGTCATCCTCGAGCCTCCGCTTGTATTTCCTTGTGTGTTCGTTATTATAAAGAGTGAATAATGCATGCCATGTTTCTTGTGGTAAAAACAGTAATCCTACATTCACTTTAGTGTCTATGAACATTTTAAGGAGCCGTAGTATTTTCATGTTTCCCCAGTGAATAGGGGAACATTTTCTAGGCAAACGTTGAAAGAGTTCATTCTTAATCAAAAGTACAATGGATGCTGTCCAATATTCTGGCAACAAAACTGTAATTGTAATGGTAATGACCAGTATTAATGCATATATATTGTCCCTTTAATACAAAACCTGTGACCTGCTTCTATGCATATATGAACTTTATGTTTAATACATCTTGACTAACGTTACAAAATTAATTCATCATAAATTATATGAAATCCAGATCAAGGATTATCCCCAATAATACTCATTTGAGACAGTTTTCTACAAGCCACCATCAGTAATCTGAAGTCAATGGTATTGGGGTTTTTTTTTTTCTGCAAATTCATACATTGAATTGTATTTTTCTTTTTTTTTTTCTTGTCAATTCTTCAATCGTTTCCATGATCAGAAAGGAGCAGATAGAAGAATATAATTCTTATCTTTAAGTAACTACTAAAAAAAGAAAAGTAAAATGGAGGCAAGTAGCAAGTGCATTTACTTATTTACATCCATCAAACAGCATTTCTAGTTTTTAGTGCATCTCTTCCTCCACAAGGCGGCAGTGTTATCTCACTGATGAAAACAGGTTGATGATCCATTATTATTATATTGTAATATATGCATATAACAGAATAGGTTTTGTTATTGTGGACTCCAGGGAGACATCACCTTGTGGGAGCTCATGAGAATCCAAATAAAGAATAAAAATGTGTTTATTGACACCGTATAGATCAAAGTCGGCTACTTTCCTCTAATCTAATTTACCGCTGCGGTTCCATTGTTAAAAAACATTAGGTCAATGATTAATCTAAAGTCAATTGGAACAGTTTATGGCTCTTTTGCCAAATGAACTCTATGCTCTTGTTTGTTCGTCAAATGTTAATATGTTGTGCCAATCCACACCAGAGCGAACAGTGCTGCCAAAGCCATAAAGCATGTTGGGGATGGCGTGTTGCTACATGTGCGGCTCAGATTAAACACATGAATGAAATGTTTAAAGAATATAATTCGCTCCCGGAAAAGGCCTGTGGGAAAAGTTTGACTGGCAGAGAAAATGCATTATAATATTATCTAAGACAGTTATTGTTGAGTGGGGCACACATCTGTGGCCACACCTGCAAGTGAAAACCAGAACCCAACAGACCTCTAAAGCTAAGCAAGGCAGGGCTTGGCTAGTACTGTGATGGGAAACATCTGGGAACACCAAGCGCCACTGTGGGGCGACTGCGGCTGTAAATTGCCTGTCGCTGTGTCCTGACACTTCACCCACATTACATTGAGTCTGGTGTGTGTGTGAATAGTTGGTGGTGGTGTTGGAAGTGGTCAGTGGCACACATTTGTTGCCTCGCTTCTGTCAGTGTGCCCCAGAGCAGATGTGGCTACAGTAGAAGTTTATCAAATGTAAACATACTGCTGCTACTAATGTACAGATGCTAACATATAACACATTGCTTGCACTAGAATACACATGCTTGCCTCTTATTTGGCTTAATGTAAAACTATTATTATTATTATTATAGATGCTAGAGCTAAAGATTATGTTTTATTTTATATTTGTATAGCTATATAGCTTCACTTATCTTGTGCTGTGTGCTCCCCTTTCTACTGTTTTATAACTTGTGATGCAACACTGAAATTTCCCCACTGTGGGACGAATAAAGGATCTCTTAATCTTAATCACCACTGTGTATAGAGTGAAAGAATAATGACACTGAAAAACAATGCATTATTATTATTATCATCTGTTGTGAAAATGGTAAATTATAGAAATATTATTGAGTAGAGAGTGTATATCTTCCTCATTAATGCAATGTACCATCTGTTTGCAACTATGTGCCCACCCATTGCAGACATGGACGACGTATTACCATGTGATCGACTGCTGGGTTTAAAAGCTTATGGCCAACAGAGAAGGACACAGCATACAATCCCACATTGAAGCTCATTTTAAACACACCGCTCTCTGTCTCAGTAAGTTTATTCCCATTTATACGATCCTCCTTCAAACGTGACTTCTTCACAACCGTCTTACTTCACAGGACAGGAGCTGCAGCATGTCAGACTCAGAAGAAGCTGCCAATGAGTGAGTATTATGATAATGTTGTAATTAAGTGCAACTGACAGTTTCTCTAAAGTGCAAGTTTGCTGTTTTTCTTTTTCTTTCAGAGGGCAACGTAAGTAATCTGAATCCCAAAAGAACTGCAATGTATACCTATAAACAGTACAGACCAAAAGTTTGGATTGACTTTCTCATTCAAAGAGTTTTTTTATTTTAATGACTAAGAAAATTAAAGATTCACACTGAAGGCCTCAAAACTATGAATTAACTTTTTAAAAAAGTATGAACCAACTGAAAAGTATGAGACAAATAAAAATACTTCTTCAAAGTAGCACCTTTTGCTCTGATTACTGCTTCGCACACTCTTGGCATTCTCTTGATGAGCTTCAAGAGGTAGTGACCTGAAATGGTCTTCCAACAGTCTTGAATGAGTTCCCAGAGATACTTAGCACTTGTTGGCCCTTTTGCCTTTACTCTGTGATCCAGCTCACCCCAAAACCATCTGGATTGGGTTCAGGTCCGGTGAGTGTGGAGGCCAGATCATCTGGCTCAGCACCCCATAACTCTATTGGTTAAATACCCCTTACACAGCCTGGTGTGAATCTACAGTCAATAGTCATGAAAATAAACGAAACTCATTGAATGAGAAAGTGTGTCCAAACTTTTCGTCTGTACTGTATGAATACACATATTGCATTTGCATGTTTACAATTATGTTTTTGGAGCATGGAAATATATATATATATATTTTTTTTTTTTCAAGAATTGGCGCTTGAGAAAAATGTGATGTGATGTGATTTGAACTCCTGTGTTGTGTGATATATCAGTATTCTGCCGACTTTAACGCAAATAAGCCAAGTTGTAATTTCTGTCCTTTTGTCACTGATCAGACTTGAGCCCATGGATGCTGAATGCTTGAGCCCTGCATTATGTCATTCTTAGCACTGTGCGTCCGTTAATCTTCACAGCAGCTAGGCCTGTATTTTTGGTGCCACTGTGAGAGCAGCTGGTGTCCTTGGGCTGCTCTGTTAACCTGATCTTTGACTCCCGGTTGGTCCCTTGTGCTGCAGCCCTGGGCCATCTCTCATTGTGTATTATCACATCCCAATTAATTTGTTCAATTCAATTCAATCTATTCTTGTATAGCCTTAAATCACAACAAAGTATATAAATAAAGATTACTTACTTACTTACTAACAGTAGTTATTTCAGAGGACTTTACAAAACCATCAATTTCGCAAAGACAGATCAGAGAATCCGAGATTAAACAAAAATTAATTTGCCCCACTGGGGGGAAATTTCAGTATTGCATCACAAGTTAGACAGTAGGAATGAGGAGCACACAGCACAGGATAAATAATTAATCTATACGAATCTATACTCTATACTCCCACTTCTTACATTAATCGCCAGTAAATGTCTCCTTTGTGAAATCAATAAAGTTTATCTGATCTACCTAACCTAAAATAAAAGCTCTAACTCTAGCATAAACAGAAGCAGTATAAAATCTCTATTTTTAGGATTTTATACTAAGGAAAGAAGTCTAAAATCCCCAACTTTAACACGATGAAGAAGCAAGACTAGTACAAAAACCCCTTACTTTTTGCATGATAAGGAGAAAGTATGAAATACTGTAATGTATGTTCTAGTGCAAGTAATATATAGTTGTATGACTAGTGTACATAAATGTTGATAAAGTCTATAAATGTCCCTTCTCACTGTGTATTTTCACATCCCAATGAATTTGTCCATTGGGATGTCAAGAGCTCAACATCTGAATCAGAAAGAGTCATGGCTCTATTTTGGTCTCTTTATGTGTTGGCTTCTGTGAGAAACTTAGAAGCACCTGTCTTTCAGTGCAGAGCTGGCGATCCATGTGGGTCGGCTAGTGTTCTCTGTCGAGTATTATAGAGGACCTCCGGGAACAAAGTCGCACCAGCACAATGCACACTTTCATTTTTATGGTCACCTGAATGCCGGCTGGCTTACCCCCTCTGCAGTGGAGAGAGGCTAGAGTTACTCTGAGGCAAAAGGGGACTTTGACCGGGAAAGGTGGTGTCACTTTTCCCCAGAGAGACCCCTTCACTGAGGTGGGAACGGAATCCACACTACAGAAAAACAGATCGTATTGTGAGAAGGACATTCAACTGCAAAGATTGTGAGAAAGAAGCTAGAGAAGTATGAGTAGGATTTATTTCATGTGAGCAAAAACACATTTATATGTATGTATTATTTAAGTTAAGATGTATCCAGATAATTTCTTTTAGTTTAAGTTTACTTTTATTAGCCCTCACCAATTAACAGCTAATTAAGTGCTATCTAGAGTATGATTATAAAGTGCTAAATAGTGTATAATGTATGTTTAAATAGCCTTTAATTTGTATTTATTAGTCCTTATTCTACAGCTAACTAACTTTATTAGTTATTATTCTACATCAAACTGACTACATATAGCTAACTATTTAGCTGGCAAGAGCTCTGGTGTGTGTCGTCTGGTGCACACCGGGGTAGTCTTGCACAGTTTTTCCTATGTGGTTTTACTGCAAATGGCAAATAAATGAATCTGAATCTGAATTTTAGTCCTTATTTTTCATCTAACTAACTACTAACTGACTGGTTAGGGCTAGGTCCCGCTAATTATAACTTAATAGGCTGTTTATTAGGGATGATTGGTGAGGGCTGATTGTTACCAAACTTCTTATTAATGAGTTTGTTATAACTATTAAAGAATAAACACCATTTCCCTTGATTATAATGCAGGAAAGTTGAGTTGAGAGTATTTTTATTTGAAGTTCAATGTACAAATATCATTACATAGAATTTTCTAGTAAATCACATTCATACACAATTATTTATTACAAGATATACAATTTTCAAACTCGATAAGGAGAAAGGAAAATTGTATACATTCCCAGCCCTGGGAATTTATTTGATTTTTTTAACATCCGTGTGTTTGAGGCCAGTAGCAAAACAATGTGCAACAACACGACAGCAACAAGCAGACAATGTCTCCAGCCAATCACGACGCAGCAGGCACCAGACCAGCAACCGACCAGCAACAGACCATCAACGCACCAAAGCCCCAAGGCAGAACGGCATATACCTTACCCCATAGATGACAGGCCACGTTCAGTCAATTTCATTCAAGCCCTGAGATTTCACATTCTCTTTTTCATGGGAATCACTTTTACGTGGTGAGAGAGAGGGAGATGATTAAAACTGTTCTCCAGTCGACAGGATCTATAAATCACTGAACAGAAGGCCTGATGGGAGTGTGGTCTCTGGTCTCCGCTGCTCTCACAATACGTAAACTACAATCAGTGAAATAGTGACTCATCATAACACTAGTTTAGAAGCAAAGTAAACCCCTAAGATTGCAATATATTGGGATGCATAATAGAAGTGGGAATTGGCAAAAGTGTGATGATTCGATAGCAATGCGATATTTGGGCCACAGCTCAATATTATTGCGATTTTTAACACATTCGATTCGATTCAATTAAGGGCCCTGATATTATTCAAAGGCATTACAAAAATAGACCGCTTTTTCCCTGCACCACTATTGCATATAATCTTGTTCAGTATTCGGATATTTATACACATGTACGATTCATAAATATGTTTCGGTTGAAAAGTGACAGAAATATACACTCAGAACTGTGATTGATGTGCTGCTTCTAATGACGTTGCTTTACACATTAAAAACACATTCATTGACTTGCTGCTATTTCAGTTATAGCAGCACGTTTCAGTTTAAATCTAATACGGTGGATCTCTAAATTAACGTCTGCTTCTCTATGGCTAATAATGACATAAACCACTCTATATTCAGTAAATACTGGAGATGTATTTTCTTCTTTTGTTTTTGTCAGCAGATACAGCAGAAGACAATGAAGGTAGCTATCAGGGCTGGGAATTGGCAATAGTTGGGCCACAATTCAAGATTATTGCAATTCTTAACGTATTGCGATTCGATTCTGCGACATATTGCGATTCATGTCCCTCATATTATTCAAAGGCATTACACATAGGGTGTAGTGCAAAAACTTTATACTTCTTTATTCTTGAACATTTAAGACAAATGTTACATCACTTACATCATTCACATATAACAGACTAGAGTCACAAAAAGCAGATGTCATAGAGGTACATAAACCTCAGAAGTAAATGACCAGAGTAAACTCGGAGAAAACACAAGAGTGAAAAAGAAAACTATGTAATTAAATATTGTGATATATATATCTGCTCTACTGATTAAATTATGTTTGCAAAATATCGCAAAACAGAACAGAATCGAGTTTTTCCCACAGGACTAGAAGTTCTTGTAGGTGCTAGGTTTTATGTGTGGCTGTTAATCACATTCACATGGATTGTTTATCTTTCCCAATTTGCCAGAAGATGGAAAACGCAAGTTAAAGTAAGACTAAAAGATGATTTCGACATCGACAACTATGTATTCATGTCTCATCTCTTGTGATCGCTCAGGCCTGGCTTTGTCCCTGGACTGGCACCACCAAAAATCCCAGAGGGGGAAAAGGTGGACTTTGACGTAAGGAAACCAGATTCATGCAAGTAACAGCAGGAAATGTGACAAATTGCGTTGTTTTTGTGATGTTGTGATGCAGGACATTCACAGGAAGAGAATGGACAAGGATCTGACAGAGCTGCAGAGTCTGATCGGAGCCCATTTTGACAAAAGGAAGAAGGAGGAAGAAGAGCTCGTTAACCTCACTGACAGAATTGTATTTATTATCATTGTGTATGCGCGTGTGCCAACCCAGCCCTGTGAATGAACCCTTTGGTAACACTTTCTTTCATGATGTTGTGGTCAGGACAAGCGCAGGTCAGAGAGAGCAGAGCAGCTGAAGATCCGAGCAGAGAGAGAAAAGGAACGACAGAACAGAATGATGGTAAGACCTGTCACCACACGGTTATGGAGCTTGGGCTATGCCAAAAGTAGAATTTATTTGTGCCAAAATTACGTCCATCATCTGACAGTTGGTAACAGTGTTATATGGAGTAAAAACATGCAAAACAAACTGTGTATTTGTCATAGTATTTGTGAATCTTGTAAGTTCAAGATAAGATAGACTTTAGCTTGTACCGTTCTAACCCAGCTAAGGCGGCAACACAAAAAGAAAGAGAAGATATACAACGGCCAAGATTCAGGACCCTCGTAGTGGCATTTATTGCAAATAAACCTACACAAACTAAACAATGTGATGGTGCGGTGGCTGCCAAGATGGAGGTTTTAGGAAAAAAGTGGGCATACAATGCAAGTATAGAATCCCAATGTTTTGTGTAAAAATCTATAATATTGTGAATAATAAAAATGTAAATGTTACTGAAATAGGAAGAAAAGACCAGAAAAGAAGAAGAAGAAGCAAAGAAAAAATCTGATGACGATGCCAGAAAGAAGCTGATTCTAAGCAACTTGAGTTTCTCTGGATACAAGGTTTTTTGTTGTACTTTACAGCAGACGTATTAACTGAAGCACATTGCTGAGTCCTAAACTATTTTCAGCAGCCTCAAAATGGTACCAAACGACAAACCGAGAGGGAGAAGAAAAAGTCTATTTTAAGTGACAGACGCAAAGAGCTGAACATTGATCACCTCAAAGAAGATAAACTCCAGTAATGTATATTCATATATTGTTAAGAAAACACTTCAACATTTCAGTTACCAGTAAACTATTGAAGACTTTTGAAATGTGCTTTTTAATCGTAAATGCAAAAAACTTACACCTTCTGTTTCTACAGTTTCATATGTTTGTTACGCACTTATAAAATAATAAAAATGGAGGCAGTGAAATTGTAATCAAAGTAGGACTGTAATGAACTATCAATTTATGTATTTATTTGATGGACAGAGACAAAGCAAAGGAGCTGTGGGATCGCCTTCGCCAACTGGAGGCTGAGAAATATGAACTGCAGTACAAGCACACCAAGCAGAAATATGAGGTGAGAAAGAGAATGAGACAAAATGATTGTAGTACTCAGGTCATAAGAACAATCGTTCATACCATAAACAAAGTTGTTATTTCTACACCGATAAAAAAAGTTATTATGTAAAACAAAAATCAACTCAGATATGTCGGCCTCAGTGCTAATCTGCTCCGGTAGATTGTCAGTGCCGTAAACTAGGAAATTAAGCTCCCATTTGGATGTAGACCAGTGTAGTTTTATCATTAATAATCATCTTCAAAACACTACCTTTACAATGTCAGGCCTCTAATTTTTAACCCGTATTCTACAAAGTACAATGGCTTTTCTCCCAATGTACTTTACTAAGTAAATGTAATGGCTTTTCTCCTCAGGTCATAGTCCTGAGGAACCGTGTCAGTGACCACCAGAAAATGTAAGTATGTCGACTCACCGTATGGCAGTGATGTCACAGTATGTGAAATCATAAAAAATCGTTCATGTCTCATGTGAGTTCAAATTATTATTATTATTATTCAAATTATCACATTCTGTCTGTCTTAAAACAAGATTGGCCAATGGGACAAAGCCATTTAGTCTTATTTCAAGAACTGTTGCTTTATCTTTTCATTCCAAGAGAGACATTTCTTGTTATTTTATTGTTGTATCATTTTGTTTTGCCCTATTGGCAAAGCTGTTTTTAAGGCAATCAAAATGTGTTCAAATTTACATAACTAACCAAAATTTGAGCACTTATTTTTCATCACTTTTTGCAGTGCACATAAATTCCAGGTCTGTACCTCCACTAGCCTGATGCTCATGGGACATGGAGGTACAGATCAGCATGGCAAGTAAAGCGAGAGAGCATACATAGATAAAAAAAATTGACAAAATAGAGATGATGTCCAAAAGGAGTAGGCGAGAGTAGGAGTTGACTTGTTAAAGACTACCCCCCTTTAACATTTACGGGTAAGCAGTCAATTTACAGTACATTCATTAGTTCAAAATGTGTTTGGTCACGACTTTGAAATGAGTGGAAAAAGTAACAGCAGTAGACTGACGACTCATAGTTATTCGTCTTTGACAGGACCGGTAAAAACCATAAAATCAGAACATGAGTCTATGGTGTTTCGTCTCTATGGAGAGATGAACAATGTAATGAGGGCATAAACAGCTGTCTGCTCTCATAGCTGCTGTGTGACATCACAGCCTGAATCTCCATGTTTGGAACATGTTATTATGTCTTCCCACAAACACACTCAACCATAACCACACCTTAACATAAAGCTTCAATTAATATAAGAATAACAATATGCAGAAATACCCCTTGCTCTTGACTTTGTGCATAGATGCTAATATATGATATAGGGATTTGATCTCAGCAGCAACAGTGGATAAAGATAGCTGCGGGGTCTTTGTTTGCAAATCCCACTAACCGTACATGACTGTGATCAGGCTTCAGCTCTAGTCTCTGGGGAAAACAATAGTGGCAGCTCTTTTATATCACTGGGCTTTGTACTTCCCCATAGGACTAATGTGTCTTTTAGGATATTTAATTGACCTTTATTTAACCAGGAACATCCCACTGAGATTTCATGGGTCCAGGCCCCAGAGACGGGAAATTTGTTTTTTTTGTAAGTGCAAAGGGAAAACCTAAGCAGACATGGGGAGAACATGCAAACTGCACAGAGAAAAGCCCTGTCTGGAGGTAGAATTGGACTAAGGACCCACAGGCTAAGAAGCGAGAGTTCACCAATCACTCAACAAAGTGTAAATGTTTTTGTCACTAGAAGAAGCTTTATGTACTAAATATAAACATTAGGCTTAAACCGTTCACGTGGTGTGCAGAGTATATTTGTCCTGTCAGACCTCTGAAGCTAAGCAGGGCAGGGCTTGGGTAGATCTGTGATGGGAGACTTCTGGAAACACCAGGTGCCACAGTGGGGCGGCAGCGGCTGTAAAATGCCAAACTGCCGTTGTGTCCTGAGGCTAGGCACTTCACTCACATTAGAATGAGTCTGATGCATGTGTGAAAGATTGGTGTTTGGAGTGAATGGACCAATTCCATTTCATTCAAGACAATAATGTGTAATTTATAATATAAAGAGGAGTGTGGTTTCTAATTTAAATGCATTGCATTTATATAAAAATTCTAACATGAGTGAAACAATAACTAATATTAATGTTTTTTGCTGCGCAGTAATAGCATGTTTTTAGGTGTTTACATTTACTGTATACATATACTGGTCACTTTTCACTTTTCTTCACACCTGCTGCTGTGTTACATTATCTGTCCCATTGTTCATATCACTTTCTATAGACAGAAGTGTGTGTAAACTACCGATTTCCACAATTTTGTTTTTTATCCTGCAATATTAAATTATTATTATACAGTCTAAAATGTACTTCTTACTTTGTGGAAAGTAAAATAAATATTCAGAAGAATCTCACTGTAAAACAGTACAATCATTCAATCATCTTTGAGGACTACATTTTTTTCTCGGCTTGAACCAATTGAAAATTCCTGTAATTGTTATATTGAAGACTCAGAAAATGAAAACATTTATACAGTTGTATCTTATGTGTTCATAGTGACATGATTATCTTGCTTGCAGACATTTGTCAGCAACTTGCCAGAGGAATATATCATTCTAATGGGTGTTGCCTAAAAGCAATTATCAGATTAAAGAGCCAAAAAGTACATGTGGCCACACAACCACATCTAAACCAGGTCTAAACCTGGACTTTGTGTCCGAAATACATGTATTAGATAAGAATTACTTTACACTACAAAAGAAAGTTGTCCCTAAATGCAGAAAATAATCGTCTTAAAAGGTACATTTTGAGAGATGCATTTCAAATGAACTTTCACTGTATTTTCAGCACAAAAGGACAAAGCAAACGTGGACTCAGGAAGTAATGTCAGCAGCGTCTCTCTGTCCGAGATGCAACAGTGCAACACGATACTTTTGTTATGGTTTGTTAATATTTGATACTGAAAAACTAAGACCACACAGTATGTGAACTGAAATGCATGTTGAACATTGTACTTTGAACTGTTTAAAACATATTATATAAATATTGTCTGGTAAAAATGACAAATGAGCTACTTTGTTATTCTTGTTGTTACAGAAATAAAGACCTGAATTTAGAAGAATGACTGAGTGATGGCTTGGGAAAATGTAGCCTCATTTATGGTTTTCAGAGGACACACCTATTAACTTGGCTGATACTGAGCTTTGTCAGACACAGTGTAGTGACTTGCTAAATGAGGTCACTCAATGCAAAAAGTAATTAATAATAAGTCGCTAAATTGCTCTATTTGGCAAAATGTATCTTAATTTGAGGAAATGTTGACAACCCTAAAGTAAGATTAGCCAACAGACAAAGAAAAATTATCTTGTTTTTAAAAAATATACAAGGAATGAGAAAATAATGCAATAGTTCTTGAAATAAGGCTCAATAGCTTTGTCACATTCGCAAATCTTGTTTTGTCTTGTCAGAATGTACTCAAAATAAGATAAAAACCACTTGATTCAAGCAATTATGACCTAATATTATTATGCAGTGCTATAACAGCCAAGGTTCTTTTTTGGAAAGTCAGAAAAGCACATGCTGTATTATGAAGCCAAATATTTAATACATGACAAGTAACATCAAGCAACTTACTACAGTTATTGTAAAAATAATATCTACATGATCTTAAATAGTCACACTAGTTACAATTCATTGAAGTTAGCAAAAGTCGCCACAAATTATACAAGACAATCCTACATCAAAGCAATAAAAACATAAAGGCTCGTACATCCAATATTCATAAAATCAGTTCTATACCAATAAAAGCTAAGATTTATTCAACAACTTGAACCGACTTGTGCACAGCTGTGGTGATGTCATTCACAAAAGATGATTTGTTCAGGCCAAGCTGTGGAGAAAGTAGAATAGGTGAGCATGTTTTATGTATTATTTGTTACATTTTGCTTAATTTATTTTGAGCCATACAAAAATATAACATTGAAGCAACATACAGCAAGCACTGTACCAACACACTTGGGCAACAATTATACAGAATCAAGAACAAAACAAAACAAAAATAAAACAGGGAGAATCAGTACAACACACATATTATTAATAAACAAGGCTCAAAAAGGAGTGGGAAGAAAAAAAGTATGAATTCCCACCCCCTGTTCACGCATTTCATCAAAAACTGATACAAAATAAGTAACAACATTGTTTAATTTTTGGCAATCTTTTTTGCAATTTTTTTCTTAATTTGAGCACATTTTGACCGCTTAAAACAAGACTTGCCAATGGGACAAAGCAGAATGATCTTGTTTTAAAAAAGGTACAAGAAATGTCTTCCTTGGAATGAGAACAAACAAATGCAACAGTTCTTGAAAAAAATGGCTTTGTCCTATTGGCAAATCTTGAGTCAGAATGTACTCAACTTCATTTGAGCATTTATTACCTCATGATCACTCTTCGCAGTGCGGCTTAGTCCCTTTACATTCATCTGAAGTTTCTTTTCAAGCTTTAAAGTTCTCCAAATAAAACAAATAAAAACAACCTTTAAACGTAAACCCCTCATGTTAAAAGGCAGGTAAGTCCAATGTTTAGCTGTTTTGTGTGACCTTCTTCATCTGTTTGGAGCCCGTTGTAAATCGCTCCCCAAATCTGACAGCTATTAGCTCAGGTTTCCTCCAAATAGTTGACAAAGGCGTGGACCGAACGGCGCAGCCACACCAAAAACGCTGACAGGTCTTGGCACCCAATCTTTACTCACCTTTTTAAGATAGCTTTGTGTGTCTTTTTCGGACCACAAGTTGTAGAGCAGCAGGGAGGCCGCCTTGCTGGACTTAGGTAGAAAACTGTTGAATAAACAAAGCACACATTGAAAGTTTCACATTTAGAAAAAGGGTGTGGGCCTCTAGATAATTCCCTGTGAGTCATTGGTGTTACTTTGCATTGTGACTAATATAATCGATTCATGTTACGTGCCAAATCAAGCCCTTTCTGCTCGCACCGACCTGTTGCCGCTCAGATCTTTCAGAGAGTTTATGAGGTCCTTGTTCAGTAGGTGTTTGCTCATCTCTGGGTCCTTGATGAAGAGACAATTCGCCGCCTGGCAGGCCACGGCCAGAGTGTCGTCAGATTTATTTTCTTCCTTTGAGCGGATTATAGCCACCAGCTGCGGTAAGACGCTACGGGCTTCAGGAACAAGGAAAGAAAAAGCCACAGGCTGTTAAAACACCTGCAAACACTTCCGTGCTTTACAACACTGCAAGACTGTATCTCAATTAATACAGCATTAATACAGCATTAATTCATGTCGTACATCTGTGCAATATTTTGAACTAATGTCAGAATGTGCAATATAGATCCATATGTGTCCATTGTCAATTTACTTTGTCCCAGACCCTTATGCTGCTAACATGTACAGATGTATCCATACAACTACAGATTTCTTGCTCTAGAATATACAGGATCTTATACCTGATTCTTTATTATGCTAAATGTAAAGACTTTATATGAAATGCACCCTCCTACCTCAATAAACAAAACACAGTTTAAACACTGGCTCATTGATAATCAAACTTGTCAGCACTGACCCCGCCTGTTCTCGCTGCCCCCTGCTGACTTCTTGCTCTGCGTGCGCCTGAATGTGTTCTGTGTCCGTCTCCTTTGTTTGTGTATCGTTTGTTGAATGATGTGTGACTGAATTTTTTCTTGGCTTGTACTTGCAAATATTGTAAATAGCTCACCTTATTTTAACTGTCTGTGTAGCAAACATGTTTTTATGTTTAGGGAGACATAGGACAATGGATGAAAAATTGCTGTTTGGCTAATTCTGGCATATTTACAGAAATGTTCAATAATATGCACTGCCCCTTAAACTTGAGTATGTATTATATTTTAAAATAGAGTTATTGTTAGGAATGCACCAATATGATTTTTCTGTGATGGCCTCTGACCGGTATTTGCCGATATCAACAAATTGTTTTTATTCTGAGCTCAGATTGTAAAGCCTGCTTTTAGTTTTTATGAGAACACCTTGGTTTGAGACGACCTTTGGCATTTAAAAATATATTTAATAGTACTTTCTCCTTGATACAACCGTGTCTATGAAAGTCAGCAAAAGGAAGACTGCAGACTGTCAGCTGTGTTTGTGGCAGATGGGATGCAGGCTAATGCTAATTCTAACGTATTTCTTCCGTTCCTTTTTAGGCATTCTCCTAAAAATCAACAACCGTTAGATAATAAAAGTTTAGCAAAATAGAGACTTCACAAGTTTGCCACGTGATACGAGCAGCACAATTGTACTCTCCACAGAAAGTGTACAATATGATTATTTACATTGTTCTTAATGGGGAGATTTACGTCCTGTCCCTCGTGCAGCTGCAACCTAGCAACACACATCGGTTGTGGTTATTGGCCCAAATTTACACATCAGTCCGTGCCAATATGTTAAAAAATGATCGGCCGGTATCGATATCCATACTGATTTATAGTGCATCCCTAGTTATTGTTCATGTACCTTGTGCTGTGTTATCCTCATTCCTATTTCCTACTCTTCTGTAACTGGTGATGCAACACTGAAATTTCCCCACTGTGGGACACATAAAGGATCTCTTAATCTTGTGTGAGCAGGGACGTACTTAAGGCCTTGTGCAGGCTCGAGTTCCGGGTGAGGTTGTGAACCAAAGACACTACGTTCCTTTGCAAGTTTACTTTATCGGACTTTAACAAAGGGCCGATGACTTGAAGTCCGTTCAGTTTGTTCACAATAGTATGACTCATTACTGTGGATACCTGCGTGTAATAAAATACATGTACAAATCACATTTCAATTCACACTCAACGATTCATGGTGAATAATTACAAGGTATGTCTGATCTTACTATGCTGTCGTGTAAGGTGAGATTTTGCAAAGCTCCACAAGACGCTTCTTGTGTTTCTTCTTTCTGACTCGATCCAAGCAAAGTCAGGTAGCTCTGAATAGTTTTGGAATGAATCAGCCATCCTGCTCCACTCGGACGCGGCTCTTCTATGACCGCAAAGTCAAAATAACGCTACAAAAAAGACAATTTTACATCCCAGTCATATAATGTTTTTTGAGAAAATAATCCTACATGACTTGAAAAATACATGATGATACAGGCTGAGTTTACACAGAGACAATGTGGCAGTAAAACGGTACAGTGTCGGCTGTTGGTTTCTACCAAGCGTTCATACAAAAACTGTGTTTCAGGGGGGTGAAAACGTAAGTGTTCAGATCCAGCCTGCAAAGTGGGACAGCTCAGATACGCTGCACAGCAGGGAGCTTTTTCACACCCGCGAGAGGGAAAAAGGTGTGAAATCCCCCTCTGTTCTGACCCCCACCTCCGCGCTGCTCCCCGCACGTAAATTTGGACATGCGCTGTAGCGGAGAACAAACATAAACAACAATGGCGGCGGGTACACTAACTAGCTTCGTGGGCTTCCAGCGCGGCCCAGAGGATAATTCTACTCCTTCGTTCGTCCAAACGAGACCACGCGAAGCTCTAGGTTTAGTTTCCATTTTCACAGCTGCTGTTAAAATGCAGAATGATGTTGGTACGTTGGGCTGGGCACGGGGCTGGGGGTCGTGTGAGTGTTGTAAAGTTTCTTTGCCCACTACTGGCCGGGCGCTAGAACTACATCGTTTTTCAACCTCATGTGAACGCTGAGAAATTTGCATTAGGAGCCAGGTCGTTTCTGTTAATAGCCTGGAAACGTCTGCGCAGCGTCTCAGTATAAACAGGGCCTAATGTGCACTGTCCCAATTCAAATAAAGATTAACAAAATAATAATACAATGAGAAGTATTTGTATTGCCATTGTAAGTATAACAGGAAGTCACATACTAGGAAATTGCTCTAGGAAACAAAGCCAAAGTTCAAATCGATATAAGGCATGCATCAAATTCATCAAATTAAAAAATTACTACTATACAGAGAAGTGCACTACGTACACAGAAATGTAAATTAATTTGAAATAATAACAAGGTACAGACAATACACAACATTACATGTTCTTGGTCTTTAGCTTCATGGTCTTTAGCTTCTCAATAGCCACAAACTAAAAACAGGTTTCACTTAATCCATGAACAAATATGCAGCGTCTCGACTTGTGGCAAACCTATTCCTTAATCTTTGACAGCGTCTTGACAGTATCTAGGTTGTCCTACCTCATGCTCCGGTGCCTTGCTCTGTGGACTGAAACAACCGATGGGGCCCACGTCGTTGTGGCTGTTTTTCCGGTTGAGATTGTTGGCCAAAGCGGTGATCCTCGTGAAGAGAGCCGGAGCTTCAGCCTCCAGCTGGAAGGTCAGGTTGTGCAAGGTACACACACAGTTGTCTAAAGACTGTTGGAAAAGCATCAGGTTAAATACCGGCTATGAATGATAATTAATGTATGAAAACTATACTATAAATAATAAACTAAAAATAAAAAATAAACTATAAATAACTAGCACAATTTGAACACTGTACTTTTACAACTAGTATAGTAAATAGGGCAAATGGCAAAAATTTGAAGATTCGATAGTAATGCGGTATTTGGGCCACAAACGTTTTTTGATTCAATTGTCCTTCAGATTATTCAAAGGCATTACAAAAATTGAGGAAAATAAAACGGCTCAAACGTCACATTTATTACAGTTATTTATACGCAATAACTGAAGTGAAAAAAAACGTTATTCTTGAACATTCAGGACACAGGACTTTATTACAGGACAACACATCATTATTCTCTGAATAGACACTTCTCACATGAATGATGAGCTCCCAGTACATTATTTACTGTACATATTTCAAGATTTCTCTGAGAAAAACGTGCTCTAATGTATCAATTTATTGTGTGCGCAAAATAATGTGATACTGAACAGAATCGTTTTTAACAACACTAAAATGTATCAGCTTAACTCTAACTCTAGTCTATGTTAGTAATAAATGCAATGGTTGAGCTGAGATCAAATACTGAGCCTCAGCAGAAATTGAGGTTGATGATTGACAAGATAAATACACTCTCTCCTGCTCACCTTCTCGTCTGGTTTTCCGGCTTCAATGCAATCTTTCACGTAACTGACCAAAGAGTCGACCAGACCCCGGCTGTTCCTCATCGTCTGCCGATAGCTTTGTTTTGTGCAGCTCATATTTCTGAAAATATAATGAAAACAATAGAAAACTCCCAAAAGTTGATAGCTGTACAAGGCCACTTGAATAAAATGTTAATACTTTATTTTATTTTTTTACTAGAATTACCTAAGGCATTCTGTGGTGTGAAGAAAGACCTCTGGGTCTGTATTGTTGCCCATGGTTGTGTAGGGGAGGACCACACGCTCCATCAGAACGGGCAAAGCTTTTTTCAGCAGATCTGGCTTGAGGCTGTCGGCTGATGACATGTTCCACAAAAGACCTACAGGAAAGCAATGTCAGGTCATCAATCAAACGTCAGGTTAACATCCTTAACTAACACTTTAAATGCATTGTAAAAGGCTAAACTGCACTTCTAAAACATCTAAAACCAGTTATGGAGGACAACACAGTAAAAGTAATTGATTGAATGAACAAATAAATAAATGTCTCAATCTGCCTATAATTATTAAGATAACAGTTCAAATTATGTTCATAAATATATATTATTGTTTACGCTTTATACGCTATACGTTATACGCTTTTTGGTTCAAAACAACATGATTAAGCTTGATTAGAACGGAGGACTTTATAAAACCGAAGAATTTGCGGATGTTGGTAGAATGTGGGAAACAAGATAGAAACAAACTTATTTTTGCTGATGAAAGTAGACAGTCCAGTCTTTCAGAATCTGGCTTCATATTTCACAGAGTCATAGCACACTATACTGTGGGTCTTGAAAATCAGTGAAATCATCAAATACAGCTGGCAAGCAATGTGTTAAGAAATATATAGTTGTTCATTTTACAAAGTTTTTAGGTTAAAAACAAAATAATAAAGCTCTATTATTTTCTGTTTGCATTTATGCATTTTCTTGTTCATTCAAAGGAAAAGATTTGAAAACATATTATTATTATTTAACTGTTGTTTTGTCCAAGGAAAAATACATTTTTCTGCATTTATCCATTTCTGGTTCATTATTTCAGCCTGCATTACTATTTTCAGCCTCAGAGATGCAGACAGAAAAACCAAAACGTTTTGAACCAAAAAGCAAGGTATATTAATAACAATATTTAATAAATCTCATCATTTGAAGTGTTATCCTAAAAAAATATTGCCAGATCGTGACATTAACAGTTTTGGTCCTTCATACAGAGCTAAAGAATTTGGGATTTGAGGTAATAAATGCTTGAATTTAGTGTTTTTTTTCTAATCTAATTTTGAGTACATTCTGACTGTCTTAAAACAAGATATACCAATGGGTCTCATTTCCATAACTGTTGCTTTATTATCTCATTCCGAGAGACATTTCTTGTATCTTTTTAAAACAAGATTATTTTTTATGTTAAAGGGAGCACTTGCCGGTGAGCTGCTTCTGCATCTCTGTAGAGTCTGTCTCCTGCAGAAGAGCCACAGCTGCAGTGATGCCTCCGCAGTGCTGGATTTCCTCTTTAGCTTTAATGTTTTTAAAGGACAGATTACGCAGAGCCGCTGAAGCCGTCTGACTCAGTGTGGAGTTGGGACTGCGAAGCAACGAAATCATTGGTGGGATCCCATTGTACTTCAACACCTTCACAGATAAAACAATGTCAGACAAGGTTGAGGCTAATAACATGTTTTTAAAGATATTCCAAGAAATAGGAGATTCATAAACTTTCGTTATCTAGTTTAAGAACAGTGGTGATGGTCCAAAACAATCGACATTCAACAACATTTATGGAGTTTATCAACATTTATAGCCATTGATCATCTGCGCCTTATGGATCACTGGCTCTCTGTTTTTATCATTGTATTTCCTGTGTTTGAACTGTTTGATTCTCTGATCTGTGTTGGTGAATTGACAGTACTGTAACATCCTTTGAGATAATTACTGTTGTGATTTATATTGAACTGAATTGTACAATATCACCTAAACGTGGTAAATGTTGATTAATCCATTGGTTATCAGATATTATTTGAATGAAAGACCTTCTCGCTATTGTTTTTCATGGTCTCACTGTCAATGATTATTAATACATGTTAAGTAAATATGTTTTAACACTTGCAATCCACATTAATGCACCTCCTCTTTGGCGTTGTCGTCCATGTACGCGTTATGCTGAATGTATGAGGCTCCACAATGTTGGAAATTCTCGTCAGGTTTGGAAAGATACTCTACTGCTTCCTTCATGGTAATTTCTGTTGCACCACTGTTTCCATTGCACCTAGACAGGGAATAATACAACTTCAAAAACAAACTTAATAAGCATAAACATAGCAAATTTAGAATATTTTTCTTTCGCTCAAAGGAGGCCAACCCTCTCTTTGACAACCCCACCTCATTTTTTTTATGCATCACAACCACAAACACACACAGAACAAAATATAACCAAGCTCTTTTACCGTTACAAACATTAAAAACAACATTTTCCCACTTTTGTAGCAATATCCAACAATAACAGTGGCCCACCCGCACCCACACACACACACACACACACACCCGCACACACACACACACACACACCCGCACACACACACACACACACACACAGCATTAACCAGATTAGCCTTAACGCCTCCCCTCCCTACTTTTGTTTTCCTTATCGGTGTTTTGTTTTTATTTGCAATAAATCCACTCACACAAACTCTTTCTTCTTGGTCTCTTGGACTTGGACTGGGACTGCAGGTTTTGGGAGAGTCTTGGTCGTGGTGACAGTGCGTACCACCTGCTTGTTGGATTTGCTTTTGACGGTGCCGTTGACGTTGTGCATATGCTGTGGCGGGTGGAAGCTTCTTGGTCTCTCTCTCTCCCTGTGGGTGCTCTTTTGAAATGATAATTTTTGGGGAGAACTGGACCCTTTGGTACTGATCCGCTGATGCACCAGATCCGGTTCACTGCGACTGGTCATGGCTTTACCATGACTCACGGAGCCAATGGGAGCGTGCGTTCCATACTGATAGAAGGACGATTCAGTGTTTCTCCTCATGTGAGAGCCTTTAAGGTTGTTCATCGATTTCCAGTTCAAAGTTCCTCCGTATTTATCCTGTAATGAGTGAAAAAGGTTCCATGTAAGACAAATAAAGTAAAGTATATATTAGACTAATATTGATTCACTATCTGCTGTAGCCACACTAACTAGTGTATAGTGTTATTTCAAGGACTCTTGTTTTATTGTCTCATTCCAAGGGAGACCTTTCCTTAATATAGATAATGTGGCCCATTGTCCCATGCTGTTTTGAGGCAATCAAAATGTGCTCAAATTTGGTTACATTTTGCCAAATTTGAGCTTTTTTGTAACATCAAACATATGTAGTTAGAAAGTTAAAATAGTTAGTCTATACAATTACATTCAATTTATACACAAATGTTCTATCACTTTATCACTAGATAGATAGATAGATGCATTCAAACAAACAAATAATTTAAAAAATGAAAAAGAAAAATACAAAAACAAACACTAATACATTGAGAAATCAAGCTGAGAAAATGACAAAGAGCACCAAACTTACAACTTGAGAAAAGCCATTCCCAGTAATAACATTTCCATTCATATAGAGAGACGTTGGAGACTTCAATGAATCCACAGAGTCATAGATAAACTCTGTTGAAAGAAAGAGGCAGAAGTTATGACTGCTTAAAATACGCTTCTTGTAACCAAAGATTCACAAAACAGATACACCGCAAACTACCCAGAGATTTATGAGAACATGTGTTTATTTTAAAGCTGTCCATTATGACAGCACAGTGTTAAAGCAGCCTTATCAGCTTGTAAACACACAAACGCAATAAAGATGTCTTGAAGTATAAATTACACGCTGTAAATGGAGAGTCATTTGTTTAGTTTATTTAACTTAAGTTTAAAATCGACTACTTATATGAATTTACTCATTCAATATGTAATATATTGTAGGGCACAATTTTCCTTTTCTGTGCATTTTTGCATTTTTCGCATGGCGCCGTAAAGATGGCGCAGTGGCAAGAGCTCTGGTGTGTGCCTCTGTCTGGTGCACTAGGGTTGTCTTAGGGTAGTTTTACTGCAAATGGCCAATAAATGAATCTGAATCATTTTCTTCAGAATAGTGAATAGTTGTTAAACTAAAATGACAATTTAACTCAGCTGTAGTAGCATTTATGGCTAGTTATTACTCATTTATACTGCTTATGTGTCGCAGCTCATATACTTCAATAATAGGACAATTAAAAGCATGATACACTGCGATACTGCAATATTCTGACCACGAAACAATAATTCTATTATTATCGTTTATAGCAGTAGAACATAGTATTATATCGCCCAAACGGCCAACAGTATAATGAAAAGACAAATAATAATGCACTATATCCAAGACCATATACAGTGATAAGATAGTAAGTAAGTAAGTAAGTAAGCTTTATTTATATACCGCCTTTCACAGACCAGAGTCACAAAGCGGTTTACAATTGTTATTTTTGGGCATTTGTCTCTCACTCCACACAGAGATGGGAGCAGGGCCAGTACAGGAGGCACATGCCAGAACTATTGGACATATTTTTAGTGGTAGGGGAAACCGGAGTACCCGGAGGAAACCTACGCAGACACAGGGAGAACATGCAAACTCCACTCAGAAAGGCCCTGGTCCGGCCGGGATTCGAACCCAGGACCTTTTTGCTGAGAGGCGAGAGTGCTATCCACTCAGCCACCGTGCCGCCCATAGATAAGGGGATCTTTACTCGTCCCACAGCGGGAACATTTCAGTGTTGCATCACCAGTTACAGAACAGAAAGAATGAGGATACTCTATACTAAAATAAAATCACATCTCTAATCTAAGCATAATAAAGCAGCAAGGATAAAATCCCAAACTTTAGCATAATAAAGAAGCAAGTATAAAACCTATAACTTTAGCATAATAAATAAGCAAGTATAAAACCTATAACTTTAGCATAGTAAGAAGCAAGTATAAAATGGGGCAACGTGACAGTGGACACATGTGGCTCTGTATTGCACATTCAGACCTTATTCAGATTAAAATTGCACAGATAAGTAAAGTAAAATGGCAGAGATAGCAGTAATATTCCTGTGCATACTATTCTCTCAGCATAAACAAATCCAGGAGGCAGCAGTCAAAGCAGGACTGACCTGTGGGAGATAACGAGGTGGATCCACTTCTGCTGCTCCCATGCCTGGACTTGGATCTGCGCACTTTCTGCACTTGTTCCAACACCCTCTGCTGTCCGGAGCGGTACTGGTTCACCGAAGGCAGGGCCAGAGAAGTGTCCTCCACGTTGCCGATGGTCATGACGGATTTCAGCGGGTCTAAGCTTGTCATGTTTGCCTCCGATCCGCGCTCTGCTCTCACAAGTCCCCGGGAGGCAGTGTGAATGGAGTCTGGCAGAGAGTAATGAAATATGCACCTTGCCCTGCCCTGCTCCGCCTGTGTGACCGCGCCCTAACGCACAATACACGCAATAACACAGCTACTAGTGCAGTCCAGGGGAAATTATTACACAACGAGAATTACAGGAGCATTGTCGCGTTTTGGGCTATGTTCTCCTTATGTTTTAACTTGCATGTTTGAGTCACGTATTTGTACTCTTTTTTTTTTTTGTTTTTTTTTTTTTTTTTATAACTGTTTAGATTTTTTCATCGCCAATGCAGGAGGGTCTAAGGACAGTGGGGATGATCCAGGACACAACATTTAACAATAATTAACACTGACATCTATAAACATTTGTGGACATTAGTCATCTGCCCCTTGTGAAACAATGGCTTCATGTGTTTTATATCTTTATATTTATTGTGTTTGAACTGTACGATTCTCTTATCTGTGTTGGCGAATCGATCGTTTTGTCCTATAACTACTGTTGTGAATTCAATGATTTTAAAGTGCATTCGTTTTCATTAAAGTTGAATGACTCCTTTTACTTAGGACACTTGACCAGGCTTGGTTCTAAATTGACACCAAACTGAGCGAAATTTTAAGCCACGATGACAAATTAAATTAGAAAGAATCTGTATTTGATCCATACACACACGCACCTTTAAATTAGTTTTGAAGAAATCTACGCATGCATTGCAGGTTAATCTCATTTTAGTAAATTGTAAGAAAGACCCATGGATGTATTAGGATAAGGATAAACCGCCTAGACCAGCCATTCCCAAACTCAGTAACACCGAGGCCCCCTTAAAAATCTGTCGGGTCTGTGTGGCCCCCCCAAAATAATAACCAAGAAGACAACATTAAGAATAGGCTCTTCTGGTTATTTTATTTTGGGGAAATAGCCTCTGCTACAAACATTGTAATACAAAAATGATTACAGTGGATTATTCAAGTCAAATAATGAACACAAATATTTTAATATTACAAACAAAACATTATAAATTTAACATTAAATAATTATATTATTTTTTTATTTTTTTTATGACCTCCCGCGGCCCCCCTGCAGTACCCTCGCGGCCCACCAGGGGTCCGCGGACCCCACTTTGGGAGACACTGGCCTAGACCATAGACTTGCACAGACACGTTTTAAATGTGTGACTATATCTTGGCTTTGGTTCAGTCAGAATAATTAGTCTGGAAAAGTATATGAAATCTTACCTTTAATCCAAAAATTCGGTGTTTGTATCCAGTAGATTCATGAGTTACACCGGCAAAGAAAGTATTTTACATGGATGTATTATATTAACTGGATAGGGTATTACTAGCTTGTAGCTGAATAACTCACGTGCTCAGGGGATTCTCGCGGTACTGCAGACTGAACCAGACTAAATTCACGTGGGCTACCCAGAAATTTTCCCCATAGAACTCAATGCATATTAGAACAGCTCAACCTCAGCTGACAGAGAACCTACAGCTTTAATAAAGATCGGATTTTGTGGGGATTTTAGTGTCCCTTGTCATCCTGAACTTTTTTTCTTCTTAAATCCTTCGGTTTTGTTTAAATCCACACTTTAGTGCCACAAACTCTGCTCCTCTGGCTCTCGCTCTAACTCCCGCTCTGATGAACTGCTCTGATTGGTCAGAGCGCGGCCGAGCCCCTCTGTGCACGTGCGTGAGACCCGGTGTGAGACCCACACACGCGTGTTTGGCGCAACGCATTATGGGAGATCATCCACTGCGCAGAACCGGGAGGACCAGACGATGCCCAAATACAGGCGAGTTTCCCATAGATCTTTGCGAGTTTCAGGCAACTTCCGCTAATCTTTCAGCCCCCATGCTGTCACAAAGCGCCACTGAGCACAACCATTCATTTGAATAGGGCGCCATCTTGGATCGCCGGGGCTTGTGTATTTTATTATTGGTTTTGGGGCCATCATGGAAAGCAGCACGTGGTCCTGCAGATGTGAAGCAGTTTGGATAAAGATATAGTGACCTCTACTGGTGAAAGGCTGTAATAACAATCTATAATGGTTATCTAAAACAAAAACAATACAACTGCAGGAATTAATTTTACCTTAATTCACTGGAGCTAAAATTGGTGAATATGAAGCGCAGCAAAAACCGTGTGTCGAATGAAAGGCTACCCAATGCTAACTGCTAGCAAGAAAACAGTGTGTTGCTATGAAACTCCACACGTTTCAAAAATAGATACATTTGGTTAAAAAACTAAAATAATGAATTAGAAATAAACTGCACATAGAAAAAGAAAAGAAAACTCTTCTCATGTTAATGAATTGTGTGTTTCTGAAGTGTGGTAAAATGAATATAAATTGTGGTTTAGATACATGTACTCATATACATAGTTCCTACATGACGTCACTACATACGGGGATTTGCCGACCCGGCGCCATTTGTGTTGGCATTCTGTGGGCAAAACAATAGAAAAAGAAGCTGAAACGTGTTAATGTCGTGATAAAGTTGAAAATGGTCATCTCCTGCTGGGTCAATGGATGTTCAAATCGTGCCGGAGGTTCCGTTAAACTTGGATTTTACAGTATACCCATCATTAGACTTCATGAATGTGAGAAGACTAAGCTTTTGTCAGAACAACCACGGAGGTTATGGCTTGCGAAGATAAACAGGCAAGAAACTCCCTCAAAACACGCAAGAATATGCTCGGAGCACTTTGTGTCAGGTGCGTATCGTATCTTATAATGTGTTGACAGACGTAATTTACTCAGTACTAACTTGTGTATGCTGATATCTGGTAACTTGAGAGTTTCATTATTTAGATTACTTTATTATGAGGAGGATCGGTGTCGCGTCCGAGGCTCTCGAGGGCAACGTAAATGTATTAAATAGATAATAATAGTTCTATGGTGGGCTAAAACAATGTTCACAAACAGCATTGCTTCTGTAAAAAGATCTGTGTCATAAAATAAACTGCTCTTTACGCCTGGAAAAATCAGTTGCCCACCATTCACCAAAACATACGGTCAAAAACGCGGAAATAAACAATAACAGCAATCCAGAGTGTCCGTGTGGCATTAGCATTAATTAAATTAATTGTTAATATAATTAAAATAATTAAATGGAGCTCCAACTGGTATTAAATCTAAAGTTTTTGAGAAATGTTTGCATTGCTTGTTAATTTTTGCTGCATAATTGGGTGCGTACCGATGTTCCCCCACTTCTATAGGCGGGGGAACATCGGACCCGGGGAACATCGGTACTTCGCGTATTAAAAAGAACATCGGGACTTCAACAACGAGACTAGTCCCGCTGTTCCCCGCGTGCGCGCTTTGATGTTTGATGTTTGATGTTTCCTCCTCCACGAAAGATGGCATATGATCCGTGCCAACTTTTGTGAGAGAAAAAATACTAACTAGCCTAAGCCTATTTACTTTTCTTTTTCCCTCTCGCTCTTTGTGTGCTCATATTTCAGCTGATCGCAGCTTGAGTCTATGCAGGATATTTTTGGGCATGTTATGGGCATGTTATCTCCCCTTGCTCACCCATGGGCATCTATATTTGACAAGTCTGACTGGATAAAATGAGGACGATTGAAACTAGAGCTACTACATCTGTTAGCCTATAGTTTTTCCAAATACGTGGTTTTGCTGAGGGCACTGTGCTTTTACGCATAATGGACACGCATATGACGTCGTTTTTGTTGTAAAACTTGAATATGCTCTTTTAGTTTTAGAGATATCAATACATATTATTCTATTCAGAATGCGTGCGTCATTGTGCAGTGTTGTCCCGCCTTACGTGTCACTCACAGTTAAAATGTAAATAACCAATTCAAACATAGCCTTTTTACAACTTGAACTTTAAGAAAAAAATGATCAAAGGAATCAGTGTAAAATAAGATCGGAAAAGCTCAATTCATGATTGTTTAATTAGGTTTCCCATTTTTAAATACAATTGGAAACGCTCAGAATTCAAAAATATTGAAAAGTGTATTGGCTCCTACAGTGGGGGGAATAATAATAATAATTATAATAATAATATAACCCCCTGAGCGTCATCACGTTCCTACGTTGCTTCAAATATAGTCCTGTTTATTGGCTGAACAATTTTGTCCAATATCATATCACACAGCGTGAAGCGAGAACAACCAGCTATTCCTCGTCTTAAAGATTGACAACGTTCTCAAAGCATTCACAACAGAGCAGCCTTTTTCATTTAAATTTTAAGAAAGTTCAGCGTGAACTTTGTGAGGTAGAGGAGCCAGAGGCCCGGGCCCATAGGTCCCAGAGGAGGAGAGCGCGGTCAGGCCTGGCTCGCCTTGCACTGATGAGGTAAACTCTAGGCCTGTGTGAGACACACTGTGGGCCTCATGTATGAAACCTGCGTACGGCCAAATCAGGGTAAATGAGGCGTACGCAAAATATTACACTTTTCCGCATTTATCTATCTGGACGTGAGCGTACAATACGCAAAAAATAAACGCCAGGTCTGGAGGTGGTGTAAATCTATACGCTGAACTCAACCTTCGGCACAACACGCATGAAATTGAAGATATGTACAACAATAAACATATTCCCTCTGGCCAAATTATATGCTGTGTTTTCATTGAGGATCATGTTTCAAAATTTGAATTTGCGCATCAGAAAAAGTCTAATGGAAACACGCAAACTTCGAATAAATCACAGCTCATGATGAGGACCCTCTATTAAATCTGACTTGTGTGTGTATTATTTTGATCTGTATGTTTTTAAAATGTGAAGCGCTTTGTGATCCTGGACAGTGAAAGGCTCTATATAAATACACTTTACGCAACAGGGATGTGTGACCCATCTATTGCTGTGGCAGGCTCTCCGCTGCGTAATTACGCACGGCTATTTGTATTCCTCATTCACATCTGGTAAAGCAATGTGTTATTTCATTAGATTTGTGTAAGCCTCACACAGACACACACACCAATAACGCATCGATGGTATTGCTCACTCAAACGTCTCACTGCCCTGTCCAGAGTGCGCAGCGAGTGCCGTGAGAGGTCGCGCCACATGTGCAGAAGTTTTGGCTCCAGAGTTTCTTTGTGAAATCTGGACCGCAAACGCTCTCTGAAGTGTACAGCGCCTCAATGCGCACTTCTACCCCGAGCCAGGCTGCGTCCAAGACGCTGCAGACGCTTCATTCATGAGAGCCACCGCTGCATAATATATATGAATTAATTAATTCATTCAATCAATCTATATTTATTCACTTCTACAATTCAATAAGGATTTTTCTAATGTATCAAAACATTTTGGCAAATTGCGTAAATGGAATATACACCCAAAATGTACACCTTTTTCAACGCAAGTTTCATAAAGGAGCTTGTGTGTATGTGCGCGCGTGAGTGCGTGTGCGTGCGTGTGTGCGTTTGAACCATATTCTTTGAAACCCCAATTCCAGTTAGCCCTTGTAGTTTGCAAGCGAATTTGGCCTACTTACTAATCTGCAGGCCTACCCAAAATTGCAAACCTGGCGCCGATACTGTTGCGAGGATGAACGGAGGGAGATATGTTTCCAAAAAGAAAAGGTGGTGGAGCTAATTTTACTTTTCTTATCTGCAACACGTTCTTATTCTGAGGTGGTAGGTTGTAAAAATGTAGTTGGCTACTACAATGCGAGATCTACTAGGCTTATAATATAAAGTATTCAGTAGCCCTAGACTAGTTATGAGCGAAAGCCGCTTGTTGCTCCATTATCCGCGCGCAGCAATAACATGTCTATGAGCGAGGCCCGCAGTCGGGGAACACCGGGCCCTCCGGCGTTTGGAAGGTTCGATGTTCCCCGGGTCCGGAGTTCCCCGGGGCGGGGAACACCGGACCCGGGGAACACCGGACCCGGGGAACATCGGGCCGACCCCGCATAATTTGATCAAATATGTAAAACATGTCCGTAGCACGTTAAACTGTGGTGCCATTGTATTAATATACAATTATTTGCTCAAAAGTTGCCCTTTTTTTCCAATTTGCGTTTGAATATCTACATTTATTCTCATTCTTCTGTTTAATGGAATGCACAAACACAGCAGCGTGCCATCAAAGATGGCGTCTCCGAGGAGGTCATGTGACATTCATTGGTCTGTGGGAACTATGTATAGATTTCTGAGAAGAAAAAAAAATCTAACAGAAATACAACATAACTAAATACTGGTGAAAGTAAAATGTGTGTTGCTATGGTAACTAGCATGTGCTCCGAGTTATAATAGCTTAATAATAGTCTCCGAGCTGAGAGTTACAGTAGTTCAGGTCCGGGCTCGAGATAATTTCATAATCAAATAACTTACAAATAAATAAGCTATACCGACTGAGGACACCCGCCCGGCATATCCGAGACCAGTGGTAAAATTAACTGCTCCGGGAATTCTAGTGTCATACAATTTTTCAGGTTCGCACGTTGTCCGCACATGCTACAAGCAAGAGGACGACATTTCCCAGCGTGCACTCGGACTCGTCGCACCGGAAATATGTCTCATTCAATTTGCTTCAAAATAAATGTCTATCCTTTTGTGGTTTCCTTCAGACTATTTCCGGCATAAATCAACGCTTTGTCCTTTACAATATTACGCTAATACGTTTTTAATCACACAACATAAACTTTACTTGCAAAATATACAAAGTTTCTCGTTGTTTTACGCTAGCTCCAACCGGATGCAGATAGAGTCACTTTTGTATTCCCAGCGCTTGTTACACGAGCTGACCGGAAAAACGTAATGGATGCAGCTCATATGCAGAAGTAAAGCTGCTGTGGACTTTTAGTGGTTACCTGTCAATAATTAACTAGCGGCATTACTACATCACCCAGTATCAGGAAGAGCGTTTGTGCATCGTGACCCAAACAGGCGGTTCCCGTCGGTTATACCACTCCTCAGACTCCGCTGCAAACTTTGGCTAATTCGGGCTCCGGAGGTGAGATGAATTCTTTATACATGTGTTAATAATGAATGAAGATAGCCTGACGCTGTCTTGAACCTGTTTGGTTTATGTGTTAAGGAGTAGATTCTCACTTGATTCCCACGTGATAATGCTGAATTAGTAGTTTTTATGTGCTGAATGTCATGTGTGGAATACCGTATATCTTACTCTGCATCTTTTGCCCCATGTCAGCTTTTTAAAGTCATATGCTCACTACGTCTTCATCTTGAATCATCTATCTGTGTGCTCTGGTCTTAGCATGGTGGGACTAAATTCTGTCCAAAACAACATCTACCTTTGACACAGAGCCCCCCAGTTTCTGATGGACCCCCCATTCTCTCCAGAGCAGTGTCAGCAGTACTAAAGTCTCTCTCTGTGGACTATTGTCACCCATGGGTACAGTGGATGCAGCCTTTTGCTTGTTATGTCTTCTCTAGGAACCACTGTCATTTGTTTACACTATGATAAAGTGTATGAGGAGATGACCAAGGCCACTTCAACAAGATAATTTTTTGATCATATGTATGTTTATGCAGTAAAGCTCGAGTACCTACCAAATGTTTGTAGTTTTGTAAAAACATAATATTTTGAACAAACCTGTCCACAGGATTCCGTTTTAAATAGAAGTTTTTACTTCTATTCCACAAACCTGGCCTCAACATGCTTTTTTTTTTTAATCTTATTAAAGTGTTAAATCAGAGACTTTATTATTCATTGCTAAATCATTCAACTTCTTTCCCTCTCCATTTTGAGCTGAGACATTGTAAGTAGAAATACATTTGTAAATATGTGTATATACTTTTGTCACTTTTGTTGTACATGATTATTGTCACTTTTGTTGCATATATCCTGCATGTAACATGTTTGCACATTTCCTCCTTTGCACAATCTGAGTGTCCTATCCATGCCAAATGTGACATGTAAATTTCTCCTATGTGAGATAAATAAACATCTTATCTTATATCAACACATGGAGAGACTACGGCTAATACTGTTGCTTGTATATATTTACATGTATGGCAACATAACAATGTACAAAATCTTCATACATTAAGGAACGTTAATATTATGAATACTAAAGGAATCTATATTTTGCTCAAATGAATGACTAATATATGATAACATTTAGTTATGTAACATGTAATCTATTGCATACTATTAAGATATTGGCTTATTGACTGGTCATGAGTGGTCCTTCCATGAGCGCTCCTTTTTCACTGTTCTCTCTGTCCACATGCAGGGTAAATCTAGTGATAGAACCAAACTGAGCCTGTGCTTGGAACTAGTTATTACATAGTTCCAGGGTTAGAACTAGGGTTTTTGTGGTTTGAAACATAATGATAAGCAGAAAGGGCTTCTAAGTTAAAGCATGTGATACGAGTTTAGACTTGGATGAAGAAATCTCACTATTTGATTTGTTAAATCGCACTGATTACATTCCTGTGTTGTTCTTCAAATTGATAGTGGACTCAACGGATACATTTTTTTTCTCTTGGCCTCATTTTCTGTTGAGATTTTTACTATCGTGTGGCATTTCCTCCACAGATCTCAATTTGAGAAGTATGGACAACTCTGCTGTAGCTGTCCGGGTTTTCTCTCTCAACTGCTGGTAAGACTCCAAACAGGCTTAAATCATATAACCTAACATAATATGTAAAACGGTTTTCTGTCTTCTCAGGGGAATCCGCTTTCTCAGTAAACAATGTTCCCAACGTTATGCTATGATCGGAGACTTGTTAAGCAGTGGGGAACATGATATAGTGTTATTACAAGAGGTACAACGCAGCGATATATTCCACATACACAGACACTGCAACATTGTGCAACACTACTCACATTTCTCTTATAGGTGTGGAGTGAACAAGACTTCCTCGGCTTAAAGAAGAAACTGGCCTTCAGTCAGCCTCACTCTCACTATTTTAAAAGGTAATAATGTCAGTGTACGGTACGACTTCATTAAAGCTGGGTACCTTTTTTCATCACCATTTATGACATTTATGGACATTGGTCATCTGCCACCTATGGATTAATGGCTCTATGTGTTTTTTATCCGTGCATTACTGTTTGAGGACTTTACAAAACCGTTGAATTCGCCAAAACAGATCAGAGAATCAGAGATAACTACTGTTGTGATTTAGGTCTCGAAAAAAATTAAATTTGAATTGAATTGAATCAAATGAAAAATAATATGTTTTTTGTTTTGAGCAGAAACATCTTGGAAAGTACAATATTGCGAACAAATTGTGTTTATTTTTTTGTTTTATATTTTATTTGGAAAAAACAACACAGTATAACAGTTAGTTTTCTTCATCATAATACAGAATATTTCAATTTTTTGTCATTGATGGGCTTATAGTGTCCGGCTAAAGTCACCTCAACATTTGTGTATAAATTATGCCAATGAACACATTTTATTGGAAAACCTAATTTATTTATTATACTGAACCCTGTGAGTTCGAGTGAGGTTGGTCCACTCTTTCTCACGTTTTTGTCTTAAAAATCTCATCTAAAGATTGGGAGAGGCCAAAAATACATCCCTGGGAAAATTGGTGAAAGAACTGTTTGGATAGAAAGAAAATAGTTCCATGTTATATGGTTTGAAAGTTGGGTACCGCAGCTTTAGTTCCCGTCTGGGGCTTTAACCTCAAGGATTAACTTTGCATTTTGGTGCTGAATAGTTCCCTGACCTCCCTTCAAAAGACCGTGTTTAATTAGTCTGACCGCTTTTATAATCCTGCATACAGATTATGTGACTGTCAACTTGAATTCACAGCTCTTTAAATCTTGCATCACATGTCTAATATTACATCTTGGCTAATGGAAGCTTGTGAGGTTTGTACTAATGTTTAACTTTCATTCATGCAGTGGTGTCATTGGCAGTGGACTGGCTATTTTCTCCAAATACAGAATCCATGATACTTTTCTCTACCGCTACTCACTTAACGGGTATCCTTACATGGTAAAGGCATAAACTGGATTTTTGTCACTTAAAACATGAACTTTTCTCTAAGTCTGTTTCTCCTTCAAAGGCTCATCACGGCGACTGGTTTGGAGGTAAAGCTGTTGGCATGGCGATACTTCAGATTGGTAGCATGACAGCGAATGTTTATGTCACCCATGTAAGTGTTTTGATTCAGGGCCTTAAATGTTTTATATGTGCAAAAGTTACAGCTCTCACATCTCACAACATTGGAGATAAGATTAAGAGATGCTTCATTCTTCCCACAGTTTGGAAATTTCAGTGCTGTGTCACCAGTCACAGAAAGCAGTCATGGAGCACACAGCACAATAAATAAAATAGAATGTCTAACTTTAGTATAATAAAGAAGCAAGTATAAACTCTCTAACTTTAGCATAATAGAGATTTTTATATTTTTTACTTGCTTCTTTATCATGTTAAAGTAAGGAGATTTTGTTTTATTTTATTTAGTATGAGTTATTGTTCATTTATCATGTGTTGTGTGCTCCTCATTCCTACTGTTCTGTAACTGGTGATGCAACAGTAGGATGAATAAAGGAAATATCTAAATAGTTGACCATTTTGCCTTTCAGTTGCACGCTGAGTACTGCAGGGAGAAAGACTCGTATCTGCCTCATCGAGTGGTACAGGCCTGGGAGCTGCAGCAGTTCATACGGTACTTTGTCTTGACTTTATCTCAAATATCAGCACTGGTCAGCGTCTTGTCCAATGAGAGCGGTGGGTTGTAACTCTGCCTGAGTGTGGGAGAATTTGTGCTTATTCAATGTGCTTTATCTCGCAGCCACACGTCTACAGGAGCCGACGCTGTGATTGTAGGTGGTGACCTCAACATGCACCCGCAGGATCTCGGTACTCGGATCCTGAGGGCCTACACCGGCCTCAAAGACGCCTACTTGGAGACCTCACAGTTTGACGTAAGGCTGAACTACACATCTATTGTTCAACTAGCTATATGTGGCTAGTTGTGACATATGTGGCTAGTATCCATTTCTTACCACCAGAGATTGAATCAGTCTCTCTTTGTGATAGGAAGTCATAAGGAAGTCATTGCTTATATATCATTTAGATAAACCTGACCTACACAAGCCCCGGTGGTCCAAGATAGCAGCGTATTAAAATAAGTGGCTTGTGCTCAGTAGTACATGGGATATTTGAGCATTTCTCTGGTTTCCCTGGTTATGGGCTGTATTTTCCCAAGCTCCCAAGATGCTTTGCTCCAAATTCCAACAAGCACGTGTGTGTGACTCTCATGCGCATGCACAGAGGACATGGCAGCGTTTTGACCAATCAGGCTCTGCTGATCAAAGCGGGAGGAAAATGAGCTGAGTTTGCTGCACTATAGTGTGGATTTATAGAAAACCGATGGCTTTAACAACAACAAAAGGATGACATGGGACATTAAAATCCCCACAAAATCTGACCATTATACTATATTTAACTTTGTATTTTTGTATTTTAACTGTTTTTAAAATGCACCTTTTTACTTATGTAAGGCGACCTTGAGTGTCAAGAAAGGCGCCTAAGAAATAAAATGTATTATTATTATTATTATTATTATTATTATGAAAGCTGTAGGTTCTCCTACAGCTTAAACCTAACATATTTGCTGTAAGTACCATCTTTAGACAGGAAACGGTACTAAGTGTATTGTCCTTACATGTTTTTCCCCTCAGAAATTCTTTGCAATGCAGGCATAAGGTGGAGCCGAGGACTTTTTAAGATAGAGGTCTACCAGATCAATAACAAACATTAAATAATATTAAAAACTAAGCGTCTGTGTCAAGTCAGTTTGCGTCATGGATCGAGAACTCATGAAGCAATTTTTATAGTTTGGCACCAAGGGTTAAGTTAAAATTACCAGGACAGTCGGTTTTGGACTTTGAGCTGTCAATGGTATCTTAGTTGACCAAAGTTTTCAACATTTTATCTATTGTTGTTTTTTAGTGCTTTCATGCAGTTTCTTTGAATTTAAGTCTCATGAGGTCAGTTTGAGACACTTTTGTCGATTGACAAGATTGTTTGTCAATCATTTTCTTTGGTTGATAACAGCTTTCAGATTACAGGACACACTCCTGTTAGTGGCTGGTGAAATTACATGTTTTTAAGTATCTTTTTGTTTGCATTTCAGGGCTGTGAAGATGGCATGACCCTTATAGCAGACAACCCTTTTATCAACAAAAAAGAACTAGTTCCTTTTGAGAAGGGAATACGAATTGACTACATACTGTTCAAGGTGAGTAAATGAGCCCGAAAGTGCAAATGAGCAAAAAAGTCTGTCCCAGTGAATAATATCTGTGCCGTTTTTTTTAAACAAGGGTTCACCAAAAGCAGAGATTCTCTGTGACTCAATGTCGACCACTAAAGGGTCCGTTCCAGAAAAGCCCTTTCCTTATTCTGATCATGAAGCTCTGACCGCAAACCTACGGCTGAAGACGCTCGCATCACAAGAGAGCAGACTTGACCAGAGCGACAGAGACTCGAGTGAGTGCTTTGAACGATTGTGTTGAGCTGTCAATGTTTGGTATGTTTGAAAGTCTGCCTGACGGGGCTCAGCAAGACGTTCCAACAGACCCTCACGCTTGGGTCTGCCATGTCTGACCAACTTCCCCCCTGCAGTGGAACCAACTGTGATCATTGACCTCCAGCCGCAGGGTGTCCTGGTGCCACATGCACTGGTAGAAACCCTCGTGCATAATAAACCCCAACATGGTGATGGACAAACTGTGACAAGCACAGAAGTCCAATAACTGAACATCGCTCTGGTTCAGATCAGGTCCATTCTTCCTGATCACCCCTCTTCAAGTGTCACTGGCGTTTCCTACATGGGCGTTGGGCAATTTGTTTCAAACTAATGTTTCAACTCTTTGAAATGACATGGTCAAGGAATAAGTTGGGGCTTGAGTATTTTACTGAAACCACAACAACATTAGTAGCTCAATTGTTAGAGCATTGGCCATTGGGCCTGAAGGTCATGGGTTCAAGCCATGGATCTATTATATCAACTGGATAGTGTATTACTAGCTTGGGGTTTTACTCCAATACCCATAACCCATGGCTCTATGTGTTTTTTATCATTGCATTATTTATGTTAGAACTGTTTGAGGACTTTACAAAACCGTTGAATTCGCCAAAACAAATCCGAGAATCAGAGATAACTGTTGTTATTTAGGGCTAAAAAAATAAATAAAATTGAAATTAATTTTATCAAATGAAGAATAATATGTTTTTTGTTTTGAGTAGAAACATCTTGGAAATATTGCGAACAATATAGATCTCAATGTAAACTAAAACAGCGCGACCTCAGCTGACAGAGAACCTACAGCTTTCATAAAGGTCGGATTTTGTGGGGATTTTAGTGTCCCTTGTCATCCTGAACTTTTTCCCTTCTTAAATCCTTCGGTTTTCTTCAAATCCACACTTTAGTGCCACAAACTCTGCCCGTCTGGCTCCCACTCTAACTCCCGCTCTGATGAGCAGCTCTGATTGGTCAGAGCGCGGCCGAGCCCCTCTGTGCGCGTGCATGACAACCACACACGCGTATTTCGCGCAACGCATCATGGGAGTTCATCCACTGCGCAGAACCGGTAGGACCAGACGATGCCCAAATACAGGCGAGTTTCCCATGGATCTTTTCGAGTTCCAGGTGGAGTTCCGCTAATCTTTAACCCCCAATGCCGGCACAAAGCGCCACTGAGCACAAACCTTTCATTTGAATACGGCGCCATCTTGGATCTCCGCTTGGTTCAAGCCCACAAAAAAACCTACTTCATTACTCCCACTGATGACTGCTGTCGTTGTGTTCTTGGGCAAGACACTTAACCCCACTTTGCCTGAAGCCCACGCTGAAAGATCAAGGCTCCTGTGGACTCACCACCTGTAGGAGGATCAGTGAGGGGCTGGTGCTATGTGTACTGGGTGCAGTTTTGACTGCCACCCCCCCAACCCAGAAATGGATTAAGGGGAAGAAGATGGATGGATGGATGGATGGCACAACAACATTCAAATCCATGTAACCAGAACTGTTCCAGAACAGTTGGGTTCTCATCACGAGGGTTCACACTCATGTAGGACCACCCTGTTAAATATATCATGTTTTATAATTAAATATAGACAGCATGTCGATATCTTCTTTGTTACAAGAAAATGTAGTCATGAAACAAACGAAAAGTTGTTTTTTAAAGTGTGACCTCTAAGAGACATTTTCAAAGCAATGCCAGTCCTAACCCCATGTTGTGTTCAGGAAAGGCTGCTGAGCTGGTGGACCTTCTGACTGAGGCGCGCACTGAGGTGAAGGTGGGTCTGCACTGCTCAGAGAGGATGCGCTACACAGCCACGCGCACTGGGGCCATGGGTCTGGCGCTCCTCCTGCTGGAGCTTGTTATTGCCGCCGTGCCTTGTCTGGCTCTGGGAGCAGAGCAGCCCTTCCCTCGCACCTCCTTCTACCTCCTGGCCGCACTGTGCTGTGTCATCCTCGTCACCACCTTTCTGCTGTATCTCTTCTACACGACGGAGCTCAAGTCTTTGCAGGGGGCGGAGGATCAGATGAGGCTGGCTGTGGGGGGGCTGCAGGAGAGACTGCGGGGGGTCTCTGTGGACCACACTCCCCTCCGTAAAGCTCCAGACGGAGAGGAGCCCTTTGACACTGAGGAGTAAATGCTCTCACCTGGACTCGTGAGGAGGTGTGTCTCGACCTGTCACAATTTTAACACTTTTTAATGCACAATATTCAGAGAAACTATTTCACAATTACATTAGGCAACTTTACTTGTATAGCACAGTTCATACACAAGGCAACTCAAAGTTCAAAACAAGATCCCACATAGAAAATCAAAAGAGTAAAGATAAGAACTTCAATTGTATGCAAAGCTGAACAGAACTGTTTTTAATTAAGATTTAACAGTGTCAGAGAAAAAGCCTGGCTCAAGTTTGCAGAAAATTTGTTCCAGACCTCAAATGCAAAAATATGAAATGCTACCTCCCCATGTTTAGTTCAAACTTAGGGCACCAGCGGGAGGTCAGTCCCTGTGCTCCGCAGAGTCCGATTTGGTTCATATGGCACTAACACTTAACAAAATCAAGTAAAATTTAGCCTTAAAGGTCATTATTCAACTGTGTACAGCTAAAAAAAATCTTATCATAGAAATAAATAAAACATCCCAGTAATTCTAGGCATAGGTTTAGACAATCATAGTTAATCAATTATAGAGCCATATGTAGATTTAGTAATTTTTATGACAAGGCTAGATGTGCAATGAAATCATACTGTATTTAGATGCTATATCAAAACAACAGAGCTAGATTTCAGATGAATGTGTGAAGACGTTTGAAGTAACCCCAAATATCATGCTATGTTGCTACATAAAAGTTTACATTTTTTTTTTCCATTTTAACCTCAACCTGTTATCTCTAAAACAATATATATTTATGCTTTCTTTCATCTGACCCTTTCCACTATGTCACTTTTTGAGAGTCTTGTCACCATGGAGATGAAAGTATTCCCTGTATTCTGAAGGGTTTTTGTTGCTTGAAAAAAAATAGAAGGAATAATGCAATGCTACAATATATTCAAGGCTCTGGAGAATGTCCCCATGGCAATGTATTAAATTAATGCACCCTTTTTAAGTAAGCCTTTATGGAGATCATTGACAGAACTGCAGAATAATGCTGTAACTTTTGTTTTTAAATATTTGAAAGCCGTTTGTATGATTATTGTGTGTGGATTTCAGTTTATGCTTTTATTATTATTATTTGTTTTATCAGTATTTTTATTAGCTTTTGCTACTGCTGCCTTGTGAAGTGTCCTCGGTGGTCACCTGACATTCCTACCATCAGCTTTTCACTGGGACCATGTCTTTTACTTGAGTTTAAATGAATTATAATTGATGTTACAGTTAAGCCCATACGATAAAAAGACTATGTGTACTGTATTTTATTACTATTAGTTTAAATCAGCAGCATTAACAGACAGGTTGTGCCTAGAAGTTTGGAAAACACATTTACTGACCCTACCACATCTGTTTTAGTTTCATATTTATTTATATATTACACTGAATCTTATATGTCCACACTCCATTATTTACACTCCGACACTCCTAAGTTACCTATCTCTTAGACAGACTTTTGTTTGAGATGTGAAAATTATTTTCTTAAAATACTGTAACAGAAGCACAATGTATTTTATTCAAATTAGGCATTGTAATTACCATTGATTAATAAAACTTATATGATAAATATCTGATCTGTACTGTAATTGCAGCAATAAAAAAGTACTTTGAAACAAACCTGTGTGTTGCAGTTCTTATGAATGGATTGTATATTGTAAGTGAAGGATTTAGTTCCTTTTGTTTGTTTTATTATATTACATTAATATTGACATCAAAAGCAGACACAGAGACCAATGACACAATGCATACAGAATGAGAAAAGGTGATCTATTGAAACGTTGAAACCCACAGTATACATAGTTCCCACAGACCAATGAATGTCACATGACCTCCTCGGAGACGCCATCTTTGATGGCACGCTACTGTTTTTGTGCATTCCATTAAACAGAAGAATGAGAATAAATGTAGATATTCAAACGCAAATTGGAAAAAAAGGGCAACTTTTGAGCAAATAATTGTATATTAATACAATGGCACCACAGTTTAACGTGCTACGGACATGTTTTACATATTTGATCAAATTATGCAGCAAAAATTAACAAGCAATGCAAACATTTCTCAAAAACTTTAGATTTAATACCAGTTGGAGCTCCATTTAATTATTTTAATTATATTAACAATTAATTTCATTAATGCTAATGCCACACGGACACTCTGGATTGCTGTTATTGTTTATTTCCGCGTTTTTGACCGTATGTTTTGGTGAATGGTGGGCAACTGATTTTTCCAGGCGTAAAGAGCAGTTTATTTTATGACACAGATCTTTTTACAGAAGCAATGCTGTTTGTGAACATTGTTTTAGCCCACCATAGAACTATTATTATCTATTTAATACATTTACGTTGCCCTCGAGAGCCTCGGACGCGACACCAATCCTCCTCATAATAAAGTAATCTAACGCTAAATAATGAAACTCTCAAGTTACCAGCTATCAGCATACACAAGTTAGTACTGAGTAAATTACGTCTGTCAACACATTATAAGATACGATACGCACCTGACACAAAGTGCTCCGAGCATATTCTTGCGTGTTTTGAGGGAGTTTCTTGCCTGTTTATCTTCGCAAGCCATAACCTCCGTGGTTGTTCTGACAAAAGCTTAGTCTTCTCACATTCATGAAGTCTAATGATGGGTATACTGTAAAATCCAAGTTTAACAGAACCTCCGGCACGATTTGAACATCCATTGACCCAGCAGGAGATGACCATTTTCAACTTTATCACGACATTAACACGTTTCAGCTTCTTTTTCTATTGTTTTGCCCACAGAATGCCAACACAAATGGCGCCGGGTCGGCAAATCCCCGTATGTAGTGACGTCATGTAGGAACTATGTATTATATTGAATACAATTCTGGGAGTTAGGAATCCTCTCAATTTTTGTTTTTTCCTGACGCTTTCATCCGCGTCTTTACTAGAATAAAACTTAATTTACACTAAAAGACATATGGAACGTTACCAGCAAGTTCCTTGTAATAATTCCCTGCAGGACACTCTTACTTGCTCTGGAGAGAAGCTTCAGTGACAGACTTACTGTGAAGCAGAGGGTCCACAGATCTTTCCTCCCTGCTCCTATCTGACTGAACAATGAGATCTGCTGAGCCATGTCATCTCATCTGTGTTAATTAAATACTGCATTCATGTGCAATACTGCAATTTCAGAATGTCTGCTGAATGTACTTTATCTACTTATTGTCCTGCCCTATATGTACTGTATGTAACATTACACTATATATATAGATATATAGAAGTGTTTACAGCTAGCTAAAAATTTAGCAGCTGCTTATATTGCATATGTGGGGTCACATGTAGGTCAGCGTTGATCCAATATACAGTATGTACATCGTTTCTTGTTTGAGTGTTTTTTTTTTTATGCAAATACTATTCTGCAATGTGCGGTGACACTAAAAATTCCTCTCTGTGGAATAAGGCTTATCAACATATAATATAAATGGAAATGTAAATGTGCACTTTATTGTCTCCTAGGGAATTTGTTCTCTGCATTTGGCCCATCCTGATGCCACAAAGGCTTACGTCAGGAGCAGTGGTCGCCATAGTACAGCACCCAGGGACCCATCTCCAGATGTTAATGCTCGGCTTGGTCAGGACTACCCGAGCTGGAGGATTTTACCTAGTGAGCATATTTTTTGTGGCAGGGGAAACCGGAGCACCCGGAGGAAACCTATCAAAATCAACATAATAATAATAATAATACACCCAAAGACGTTTCTCATTTAAAGGTCATCTTACCATAATGTAAAGCAATATTTTTGAGGATTTGATCTGCCTACAGTGCCTTGCGAAAGTATTTGGCCCCCTTGAACCTTTCAACATTTTGCCACATTTCAGGCTTCAAACATAAAGATATAAAAATTTAATTTTTTGTCAAGAATCAACAACAAGTGGGACACAATCGTGAAGTGGAACAACATTTTTTGGATAATTTAAACTTTTTTAACAAATAAAAAACTGAAAAGTGGAGAGTGCAATATTATTCGGCCCCCTTGCGTTAATACTTTGTAGCGCCACCTTTTGCTGCAATCACAGCTGCAAGTCGCTTGGGGTATGTCTCTATCAGTTTTGTACATCGAGAGACTGGAATTCTTGCCCATTCTTCCTTGCAAAACAGCTCGAGCTCAGTGAGGTTGGATGGAGAGCGTTTGTGAACAGCAGTCTTCAGCTCTTTCCACAGATTCTCGATTGGATTTAGGTCTGGACTTTGACTTGGCCATTCTAACACCTGGATACGTCTATTTGTGAACCATTCCATTGTAGATTTGGCTTTATGTTTTGGATCATTGTCCTGTTGGAAGATAAATCTCCGTCCCAGTCTCAGGTCTTTTGCAGACTCCAACAGGTTTTCTTCCAGAATGGTCCTGTATTTGGCTCCATCCATCTTCCCATCAATTTTAGCCTTCTTCCCTGTCCCTGCTGAAGAAAAGCAGGCCCAAAGCATGATGCTGCCACCACCATGTTTGACAGTGGGGATGGTGTGTTCAGGGTGATGAGCTGTGTTGCTTTTACGCCAAACATATCGTTTTGCATTGTGGCCAAAAAGTTCGATTTTGGTTTCATCTGACCAGAGCACCTTCTTCCACATGTTTGGTGTGTCTCCCAGGTGGCTTGTGGCAAACTTTAAACGAGACTTTTTATGGATAACTTTGAGAAATGGCTTTCTTCTTACCACTCTTCCATAAAGGCCAAATTTTTGCAGTGCACGACTGATTGTTTTCCTTTGGACAGACTCTCCCACCTCAGCTGTAGTTATCTGCAGTTCATCCAGAGTGATCATGGGCCTCTTGACTGCATCTCTGATCAGTCTTCTCCTTGTTTGAGATGAAAGTTTGGAGGGACGGCCGGGTCTTGGTAGATTTACAGTGGTCTGATACTCCTTCCATTTCAATATAATTGCTTGCACAGTGCTCTTTGAGATGTTTAAAGCTTGGGAAATCTTTTTGTATCCAAATCCGGCTTTAAACTTCTCCAAAACAGTATCTCGGACCTGCCTGGTGTGTTCCTTTGTCTTCATGGTTCTCTCTGCGCTTTAAACAGAACCCTGAGACTATCAAAGAGCAGGTGCATTTATACGGAGACTTGTTTACACACAGGTGCATTCTATTTATCATCATCAGTCATTTAGGACAACATTGGATCATTCAAAGATCCTCACTGAACTTCTGGACTGAGTTTGCTGCACTGAAAGAAAAGGGGCCGAATAATATTGCACGCCCCACTTTTAAGTTTTTTATTTGTTAAAAAAGTTTAAATTATCCAATAAATTTTGTTCCACTTCACGATTGTGTCCCACTTGCTGTTGATTGACAAAAAATTAAAATGTTATATCTTTATGTTTGAAGCCTGAAATGTGGCGAAATGTCGAATACTTTTGCAAGGCACTGTATATTCATAATAACATGGTGGTTTATAATAACAAAGTGAAGAGATATTTTCATGAGTTGTCTGGGGAAAGAGACCCAAAGGCACCATGCGTCTTTTATTGTTAGATACATTTGATTGATTACATAGTCCAATCGCTACTTTGATACAAACAAAGTATAAAATTGCAATGCACAATAGTAACAAAGAGAAGAGGCTAGTAAACCACATTATTCAAACAAACAAAAAGAAAATAAAAACGCCCACACCATTCAAAATATAATACATTAGATATCTCATTAATTATCACAATCACACATTATTTTCAGTGAAGCATATGGCAAACACTGAAAGTCCATAGATGTCAGAATAAAAAAACAATCGTAGTAATGTCCAACTTGTCTGTATAAAAGATACATGAGGGATAACCTGTAGGGAGTGTTACTGTCTCACACTTGTCAAATATGACAATTAAAAAGGTGCAACCACACCATGTCATATGTAATACCTTAAGTAATAACATTGTCCAGTGAACCGCATGAAGTACATGTATGCGTCCTGCAAGCTCCATCGAAAGACATTTGTCTCAACTGCAAGTCCTGCTTCACCTCCTCTTGGAAATCATCAACTCTCATGATCTCCCATGTTTTAATTTCCAATTTTTAAATAACAATCAATGATCATTCTCCGCAGCACAGAGACGATAGGTCCCATATAACTCGTCTTAGCTGGTTTTATTGTTATTGTTATTGTCGATGAAAATGGAGATAAATATCCAAGTTATGACCTTTTCACACTGCAAAAAATGATTAAATATGAGGTAATAAATGCTTGAATTGTGTGGTTTTTATCTTAATTTGAGTACATTCTGATCTTAAAACAAGAGCTATTTAGTCTTATTCCTGTTGCTTCATTCCAAAGGAGACATTTCTTGTATCTTTTTAAAGCACGATTTTAAAAGATAATTTTGCTTGGTCCCTTTGGCAAATATTGTTTCAAGGAAGTCAAAATGTGCTCAAATGAATATATATATTTTTTATTTTTTTTCCAAAATAAAGCAATTTTTGACTTATTTTTCATCACTTTTTGCAGTGTATTGGTGTAACATTATTGAATATTACAAATGACAATTTTCACAGCATAAAATTTCTTTTTTAAACAAAAGAAAGACTGACTTTTTGCTGACTGTTTGAACCATAGTCTCTGTGCTGAGTTACATGAACACAATATCAACAGAAATACTCCTATGTAACATATTCCTTTAGCGTTGGCTGGCTCACAGTTTGAACATTATTATGCTTCAGTAAGGCTACATTGTTCCTCGCAAAAAAGCACTGCGTCGCGTCACCCCTTTTATAATTGTTTAAGTGCCGCCAAGCACGTCTTCAAAACAGAAAACAGAGGACCTCACGATATCGCAAGATCTTGGCATAGAACGTCAGGATGGCAAGAGTACAAGACATCCCAACTGTCAAAAGTCAGTAATAGATGGATGTTTGTAAGACCTGAAAAAATCTGAAAATGTGTCTATAAAACATAGAAAAGCTGATTCAAATCGATACATTACACAATACACGCCCTCTACGAAGTAAAACATCAAAGTGAACCTTTAAAAAAAACTGGCTACATTTGAAAATCCCCAAAACAATGGGATATATTTCCAATTAAATTTTGATATAAAAACTTTGTGTTCATTTATAAAATAAGAGGTAGTAAGAAGGCAATCCAAAGTGGCCGGTTATCAAATCTTTGGAGAAAAGGGCACATTCTTCTGTAACTTACTGCAACAACTTGCTCTGGTTTTCTACGTTCACACTCACCCTTCTGGTCATGTCTACTTTTCCAATGATATAAACTTTCCTAAACTTTCTGCAATCAAACACTGTATGTTTGATTGCATACCCTAACCCTAACCCTTATAAAGCCAAGTTGGAAACACTGAAAATACTCATAGCTTTTAAATAACTGTCTTTTTGTTGTTGCCAATATTCACTTTTTTCTTGTTTTCATTGAGTCCATGTGATTGTGACCTGTTTCTCAGTCTTTGACAAGTCTGTAGACATGATACTGAGCGCCATGTTCACTCGTAGAAACCTCGAAAACAAAGGCTATGCAGAGCAGTGTCTCCTGAGTGTCTCGATTTGTCACCACCTGAAACGGGAACAAACGCAAAGATAAAACAAGAAGATTGATACAAGGTGCATTAATGAAGTTATTTTGATAAGGTATTTTCCCACTGGGTTTTCAGAGTTGTTCCTTGCTGATGCAGGAAGGTCACAGGACAGAGGTGATGATCTAGGAAACTCGAGATTCAACAACTTTTATGGACATTGGTCATCTGCCCCTCATGGACCAACGGCTCTATGTGTTTTTAATCATTACTTTTAATCTGTTTGAACTGATTCTCTGTTGGTAAATTCAATAGTTTTGTTAAGTCCTCTGAGATAACTACTGCTGTGATTTTGTGCTACTCAAACATAATTGAATTTAATATTAGTTCAATAGTGATCTTTTGACGGAATTGTTCAATGTGTATATTTTAGGAACCGCTAATCTGCCACCACTTTTTCCTTCTGTGGGGTTTTTCAAAATCGCTGTGGGGAAGGAAAAAAGGAAAAACGCTGGTGCTTCCTCAAATGTTGTGTGCGTGTTGTCCCTTGTCATAATACAAGGTATTTGTAACAGAATAACGTCCAACAAAACACAAAAGCAGATAGAATAAATGTACCTGTAGAATAGTGAAGTTTTCCAGAACACTGTTCATCATATACTTTTCAGGCAAATGTTTGAGTTTGTGGATAAAGTTGATCATGTACTCGCACATGGGAGAGCGATGGATCCTATAAACGCACTTTCCGCCTTCCAATCGAGCGTATTCTGTCTGTGAGAGAAATATGAGTTACATATGAGAACACAGCTATTGCCGCAGCAAACAGCGATGAAAAATAAGTCAAAAATGGCTCAAATCTGGCATCTTCTTTTCAGCACATTTTGACTGCCTTTAAACAAGATTGGCCAATGGGACAAGGAAAATGATCTTTTTTAAAAAAAGATACAAGAAATGTCTCCCTTGGAATGAGAAAATAATGCAAACATTCTTGAAATGAGTCTAAATGGCTTTCCCACTGGAAAATCTTGTTTTAAGTCAGTCATAATCCACTCAAATCAAGATTTAAAAAACACTCAATCCTAGCATTTCTGACCTCATACTCTATCATTTTTGCAGTGTACATATAGGTATGTGAGGCTTAATCTGAAAAATTGCACCTCTTACCTCAACTTTCTCCACAACCTGCTTTCCAAACGAGCAGACTTTAGTTGACACGGTGATGGTCATGTTTTCATTGCTGCTGTATTGGCTGCTGACGCCGTAGAAAGAACCAGGTCCGTCTTGCATCCCACTGCTATTCAAGTCAGCCTGATTTCAACAGACAGTATTATAAATATGCGCTTCGCCCAAGCCCCTTTCAAACGTTGCACTGTGTTTATGTTGATGTATGTGAATTTGTGCATGGTTGAAACTAAAAAGATCTGATACTATTTTTAACTCATTCACTGCCCATGACGACAAAAGTCGTTCTATTGTATAGTGACGCTCACTGCCCAAGACGACTTAGACGACTTTTTCGTGTTATTACACGGGAGGCTGCAGTAATGTCTGGCGCACCTTGTTAATGACCCACAACACTGATATATAGTGCAAATGTACCTGTAATGATAAATCACCACCAGTAGGATGCAGTATTGCACCACAGGAGAGGTCATAAGTCAGTGGAGAGGAGGAGGAGGAGTGTGGGAGTGTTTGGACAGCGTGCTGCTGTAGCAGAGCGATGATAGCGTAGCATTGAGACGGATCAGCGATCTAGTTTAGCGATAGTATAGCAAGAGTGATGGCGAAAAAGAATAGTTATAAGCAGTATACACTGCTTCAGAGATTGACTAGCGGATCAGTGAGTGAGGTCGAGAGGGGAGAGAGCGGAGACCCCGGTGGAGGTCCGTCTCAGCAGCTACATTTGCGCGGAGCAAGAGCCCCGAGCAGAGACACGCCCTCCGCCTCTCTCAGCGTATCAGCTGCTGTTGTTACTGATGCCTCGGATTCGTTCAGCAAACCTGATCATGATTTATCGGACACACTCACAAACACTCACACGCACTCACTCACTCACTCACGCACACAGACACTCACTCGCACAGACACTCACTCACACAGACACTCACTCGCACACTGACATTCACATGCTTCATTCTATTTTATACATCTATAGTTTTATTGATCTTTGTGTTGTTGTTGTTTGACGTTTTGGTTGATGGTATAGAAGAAAGTTAAATTTTCTATCTGTGAATAAATTGCCAACAATTTGCCATCAAAAGTATTATTTCAGAGTCATGTTTTTATAATTTTTGTAATGGAACAAGTGTGGAGATGTTTTGAGTTGTCACTAAAGCAGCAAAAATGCATCTAAAAGTCACTTTTCTGCTTGATATGTTCCTGTTTACATACAGCTCGTTTCCTCTGTTTTCTTGCTCAGACCAGGTGTTATGGGTGAAAGTATGCTTTGTTCTATGGCGAATAACGCAAGAACGGTAAGAGGTAGGTTTTCAGAGTAAAGCAGAGAGGTGAATCTTTAATTTGGTGCCCTTGGTGTTTACATCGTCTAAAAAATGAATATTCTGTGGCACTTCAAAGTTGGGTCAAATCACCTGAAATTGCTGGCAGAATGCACTTCTCAAATCTGAAAATGCCTGGCAGTCAGTGAGTTAACCATATTAGAGCATCATGTTTTCGGGTCACTCGTCTCATTACAATGTTGTTGCTTTGCCTGAAATGTATGGAGTACACCTGTTCATCAGCTTTAGGAATAACATAAACTTACCCAGAATTTCACCAGGAAGAAGGCGTTTTGGGGACCCTTCTCATAAAGCTCTTTGAGCCCGCCTTTCTTTTCAGGGAACTTGTCGTAGATTTGCCGGATGTCAACGGCTTCTAACAGTGGGTCGCTGTAAGAGGGGTTGGTCTGTCCAATGTGGACAAACAGATGTTTGCTGTACTGTAAAAGAGAAGAGAGAAATAGAATGAAATCTCACACTTACATCACATGTTCAATACTAGATGTATCCACTAGATGGCAGCAAGGTAACAACCGAAAGATACAGTTGGTATCCCGGAAACGACCATAAATATTAAACTTACAACAACCCTAACCTTAAAACAGGACCGTTTCGGGTATAAAATTAGAGCTACACCAGGTCTATTATTTGTATGGTACAGCCAAGGACTGAAATACAATACAATCCACTTTATTTATATAGCATAAATTAGATAAAAGTAACACATTTAAATATACAGTATTACAGAAATGATCTTGAGTGCAGAGGACACACCACCTAAAGTGGATCATGTACTGGTGGATTTTTTACTTTTTCCAAACATTATCAAACCTTTTGCTAAACCTTTCTCTCTTCATTACATATATTCTTATTAAAAAACTACTAAATTAATTGTGCATTTCATATTTCCTAATGTGGATTTGGTGATACCCGGAGGAGCAATATCTAGATTTGGACACTGCACTCACAGTGTCTGGGTCTCGCTGGACTTCCATGAAGGCTGAGTATTCCAGCATCCGCAGCTTTGACGAGGCAATGGTCCTGTCCTGCCACACGGGCACCGCAGTGGCACTGGGGGGAGGGGGAGGGGCTAAGGGCTCGTAACCTGCTGTGAAGATAATATCACTTTCAGAAAACACCACGAGCAGATGAGGTTGGACCCAGATATAAACTCACTTTGTAAGGACTGCACTGGACCTTGTAGTGATGTGTAGGGCGGCTGTGCATATGGTTTGATGCTGAAACGCAATTAAAAATACATTAGACAAAGAAAACTATGATTATGATCATTATTAAGCACTTCAACATGTATATCATATCTACTGTTAGTGTTTGCATTGGATGCTGCACCAGCTAGGCGTAAGTCCGCCTGCATTATTGCCAAGCAATTCTCAAAATAGAATTTGAGCATGTTTATATAAGTGCAGAAAACATACAAGTACAGTATATCATGTGGGCAGAGGAGTTAGTACTGCTTTGTGCTCTCAGTCACACTTCAGCTAGGGGAACTTACGCATGGCTGGTGCGGCCAAACCCAGGAGTCCTTCCCGGGAGATCTAGAATGAGACTGGTGCGCAGAACAGGTGGACAGTTAAACAGACACTGCATCACCCACCTGGCATTAAAGGATCTACAGCTTTACTTACTCCTGAGAGGGGCCCGGCTGTCCTGGGATAGGGGCGCGCCAGAACTGTGGTGGAACAGCAAAATCAACATTATTTTCTGTACAACTTGACACATGTTTTATGTATAAAAAAAGAAAAGAGCGTTACTGGTTGGTACGGGGCGGGCGGTAGTGGAGGGAGGTTTTTCACTATACTCGGTGAGACAATCTGTGCAGATGAGAGAGCAGCCATGTTCTGCAAGGCTTTGTCTTTAGATGCCTGGTCCTAAAAGAAACAGTAAGAGTCAGACAGTGGGGCCCTCTGTGGCACTGAACTGTATCTGAACACATTGGTTCAGCAGATTAATGAATAAATGAAATGTAAAATTACCAGAATGTAAACATGTGAAAGAATGTGTTAATAGAGTTAAGTATAGTCGTGAAATGAAGCAGATTGAACCCGTGGAAGTCAAAGCTCAAATTGATTGGTTTCCCCAAAAAAGGCGAATAAAGGTGTCATCAACGTTGCATTTAGTCATAAGCAATAGGAATACTCAAGCAATGTGCAAAGCTTATACATTAATCTGGGATCTCCTGCTTTTTACAAATTACAATATTATTTGATCACATCCTCATATGTTCATTTTTGAACCAACTTGACTGTCTCCCGAGGCGTTCCCAGGCCAAGAGACAGATAGTTCCTCCAGCATGCACTGGGTCATCCCCATCGTCTCCTCAGGGTGGGACATACCCAGAACATCTATGAAACAGATCTACTCTGAGTCTGATTTACTCCGACCCCCGCAGACAGGTTGGGTGAACTCCCTCCCATGATCCCTCAAGTCCCTGAAGAAGGCTATGACCGGGGCGAGAACCACACTGCTCCTCCTGTGCTCGAGATTCGACTATCGGTTTAGAACCACACACTCAAATAGGTTATGGGTATCTCAGTCTGTTTTCTAATTACTGCATTTCACTTTATAAAGAAGCGGTCTTACTGCTCTATGCAAAAATTGAGTGGCAGCAGTGAGACCCCTGATTAAAAATCCACACCTTGGGCAAAGCCAGCGAGACTAAAGCTCATGGTGAAGCAGAGTATGTGCTCCATGGGCGGGCGGCAGGGTGTAGAGGCAGGCTCTTTTGTGCATTTGGGGAGAGGGGTGCGATAAAGCCATGCCAGTAGAGGGCCATAGCAGGGACAGTGCATTTATGCTGCCAAAAAGCGGAGGGAAGTATATACAAGTCAAATGCACTTACCAAATTCATTGCCTATATTAAGAAAGGAGAGAGAGCATTATTACTCTAGGCAATGGGTAATAATCAATATGATGACTGTTTTGCATGTGTTCACAATTAGCGTCCACATGTGTTGGCCTTCTTACTTTTTCTTATCTACATATATATATATATATATATATATATATATATATATATATATTTATTTATTTTTTTTTTTCCTGCCAAAACAATTTCCAAGTGGTAACTTTTTGTTACTTATGTGGCAATAAAAGTGATTCTGATTCTGATATATATATATATATATATATATATATATATATATAGTGGGCAGCAATCACCGTAAGATATTCTTTAACAACTATAGACTCTCACAAGCTCTCTCAAAGGCTTCCACCAATACAAATTATGGTCGCTCTTCAAATCCTTAGGATTGCCTGTGCATACAACTGAGGGATTCCACAGGATTACCTGTGTGTTTTTAAAGTTGATTTTGGTGTTTGTATAATGTGATGATTTGTGCCTTGGGTGATGTGGACTGTGAAGTGCTTTGTGTTGCCCTGTGTAAAAATACAGATTGATTGAGGATTGTGAAAGAAAAACAAGTAACACATTCAAAAGTTAAAACGTAGATTAAACGTTTTTCCCTAATGCTAATATTCCAAATCAGAGATTATATAACTACTAAAACATTTTGTATCGTACCTAGACAGGAAAAATCAAGTGTAAATACGTATGAAGACATGAGGGCAGGTACACATGAAGCATCAACAGAAATATTTTGTCTAATTCAGGAATCAAACACAAAACTGACTCTGATCAGAATATCAAGCCCCAGAGTGGAAAGGTTTGCATCCATTTTGTTGTCTGTATATGTACTGTATATGGCTTTAGTTATCTTGTTTTGGAGCGTTTATAATAACATTATTGTCATAATTTGAACTAAAAATCATATATCGTTTAACACAGTGTATGGTGCATGTAAACGTCTGCTGTATTCTGTGATAATGTGGAATCTGAATAGGTTTATAATGTTCTGAACCTAAAGGCTTCGCTACAACTACACAATTATACAATTATCAATCAGAATAACATGGTTTAATATTAGTCAGATTACATTGTTAATTGAACTGAAGATACCAAAGTATTTGAAATACCGGATGTGACAAAAAGAATAGCACAAAGACGGGAGTTTGGTTGGTCAAACCAGAGATTGTTGAATGTTTAAGAGAAAAAAACAGCATTTGAATAATCAGTTGTTACAGACATAGATTCAGAAAGTACAGTTTAGCTAAAAGGAAAGGTGTGAAGCATCACGCCGCAAGTGCTAGCCATCACAAGCTTCCTACACTGTTACAAATGAGACGCTTTAAAGTGAACAATTTTTAAGTTGGAGTTTTGTTGAAGACAGGCATTATAAACCACTGAAGACATTGTCCTACAGTGTAAACAACATGCATTAATATGTGTGTTCTTTATGGTCACGCAAAAAAGTTAGTCTACAGTCAGCATTCTTTAAGCTGGCACTGACTCCTCTGCCCAAAAATTTAATGTAATATTGCCATTTGTAAATTGGTTAGTGCAAAGCCAAGCCTAAACAAGCCTGCCGAGGCCACAGTGAAGCGCATACCTTTAGCTTTGACTGGATCTCGCGAGATTTTCTTCGGGCGAGAACCTGCAAGTGGCTAGAAACCTGCACAGAAGAAAAGCCAAGAGGAAAGAGGAAAGAGACAGAGAAGAAGGAAAAGCCGTAACCAAAGAGGAAAGAGACGCCCTGTCAGTGTTGGCCGCAGGCCGCTGAGCCACCTACCTTGATACCCGCCTGGTATTCACGAACTTTCTTCCGCGCTAACACCTGTATGTGACTAGACACCTGAAGGATGTGGCACAATTTCAGCACTAAACAACATGCAGATGGACGCACACACAGGCATCCATAAACACACATGTACACATAAACACACAACAGTGCATACATGTAAGGACCGCTGAATAAATGTATTCCTCCATCATTAAAATGCACAATTTTGGGACATTTAATTGAGCAGTCAACAAGTGAAAGTTGGCGTTTGTGTTTCGCATTTAACATGGACTTTGATGCAACCAGTAAATATATAGTAAATAATAGATATGGCATTCCAGGACATCTAACATTTATGGACATTGGTCATCTGCCCTTTATGGACCAATGTATCTATGTGTTTTTTATCATTGCATTTCTTGTGTTTGAACTGTTTAATTCTGGGATCTGTGTTGGCAAAATCAACAATAAAGTGTTATTTAGGACTATAAGAAAATAAATTGAATGGATTTGAATTGAATGTTAATCTATAAAATGTGGTGCATATTACATGTTGTTCTTAGAATTCTCTCGTGTGAATGTAAAGAAAAGCTGTTTTTCTTAGCAACAAGTAAATTTAGATTTTCCCTCTAGGAAGTAGGTTTGTAACACAGCCATGAGGTATGCAGATGGGAAGTAGCCGTAAGTGTATTCAACAAGGTGTATTAGGTGTATAAAACAAAATCTCTAATAAAGTTAGAGATTTTGTTTTATTCTAATCAGTATAGATATTGTCCACTTATCTTGTGCTGTGTGCTCCTCATACCTACTGTTCTATAACTGCAACACTGAAATTTCCTTGCTGTGCGACGAATAAAGGATCTCTTAATCTTAATCTTCATTTGTTAACATGTTCATTGATAACATTTGAACCATCGCATTCTCAGGGAAGACCATTGTGGGTCACTCTTTGACATTGAGCTGATTATGAGCATCTTTTGTATCTGAAAAATCTGATCAAAAGCTGTGCTACTTTCAACAATATGCATCCAGGTCAGTCCTCACACTGCAAAAATAATAAAATATAAGTACTCAATCCCAATTTGAGCACATTCTGACTCTGTCTTAAAACAAGATTTTGTCAATGGAACAAAGCCCTTATTCTTAATTCAAGAACTGTTGCTTAATTTTCTCGTTCCAATTTCTTGTAGCTTTTTAAAACGTGATAATTTTGCCTGTCCCATTAACAAATCTTTTTTTGAGGCAGTCAAAATGTGCTGAAATTATGATATTTTTAATACATTTTGAGCCATTGTAAACTTATTTTTCATCACTTTTTCCAGTGTATCTAGTTCTAAAGTGTCCTTGATAGAGAGCATTAAATGTGATACATTGTCATTTACTTCCTGCTTTCACTTCAATTAATCCACATTGCACAATCAGGACGGATTCAGCACTTTTTCCCCCTCTCAGTACAATAGAGGATTACTAAAAATGCATGAGTCATAAGTCTAGTTAAGAAATTATGAATTAAGCATCTAAGATCTAAGTAAGCAACATGATGAAAGTAAGTATATATAGTATGTCTTCTTTAATACAATAAGATTTGAAATAAAAGAAATGTAATTGATTGGAAGGTTTCGATGAAAAGGTATCGATGCAGACTGGTCTCATGACAAGCTTTAAGCCTTTTCTATTTCATTAATAAAAGAAGCTCTACCTGTTTTCGTGTGCGTGTTTTGCCAGTCCTCAGCTTGATGTATCTTGCAATCAATTCATTGCGACCTGAAAAAATAACAAAAACCACACATTGGAAAAGACCAAAATGTATGTTACAATTTTACCCATTTCTTTCTCACTTTGTTGCAAGATATGAATAAGCTTCGAAGTCCTGCTTTAAAGAATCAATGAATGTAACTTTAGTTTGCTTACAGAGGCTTGTTTGACACATCTGTGTGTTGTGCTCGCATAACCCTGCTGCCTAATTACAGAGGCAGCTCAGAAAACACAAGCACCTTTTCATGACATCACATCCACTCTCTACATTCTGCACAAACATCCACAGAACACACTTCTATTCACAGACGCTTTATGTCCTGTTCGGTTGCAAACTAAAGTATAGATCGACCAGAACAGACTCTCTGGATGATTATAGAAACACCTGCTATTGGATCTGGTTCACAACCAGGGCCAAAGGCAAGACCGCACTGAACTATGTCATAAAAACAAAACTTAAATGAAACCATACGTAAATATAGTGTTAAGATTCTGAGTGTTGAGTCAATGTATTCAGAGACTAGAAGTAGTAATTAAGTAAATAGTAATAATAATAATTCTATAATAATCAGCCTTTAGTTGAGCTATGTTTTTATTTGAATCAACCCTGAACCATATTTTGTTCAGAAAAATCCACCTGAACAAAAACATTCTAACCCCTGTTAAATAAAACAAAGAAACAAACACTAATTCACAAGAAGAGCTTCAAACAAACTTTCCACTGTAGGCAACAGAGTAAAACCGTTTGGAACCCCTGGTTTAGATGGAGTGTTCTCTGTATCAGACCTTTACCACAAATGAACTCAAGGCCTTCTCAGGCTGCTCTCAGGCAGCAGGCCCAAGGAGGAGGTTAGCCAGCGCAGCAGAACTGTGTGATACTGCACAGAGTCCTCCCCTTCTGCCCTGGGCCAAGGATGGACACGCCCGCTCCAGCGCCTCCGCATTCCTCACATTCCTCAGAGCCTGTCACATCTGTGCTAGCCAGTCTGATTGGCCTGGGCCAAGCAGCAGCAGAACTGCATGTGTGCTTCTTCTCTGTGGGAGCAGAGAGATACAGACATACGGCTCATGGAGAGAGGGCTGTAGAGAGGGCAGCTGATGCTGTAAGTCTGGGAGGAAGCACAAAGCCGTAACTGTCTGCCAACAACTGCCACCTGGCCCTAAAGCAGCCCTCACCCCGAAACAACACCACAGTGTCACCCTGTTCTCAGCACACAGCACCTGCTGCTGACTGTCCCAGCCTCAGCTGCAGAACAATACCAGAGCGATCTGTCAGACATATCTGCAGCACAATCTCACATTCAGCTCTAATTTACTGGAATGTCGCATCCAAACAGAAGTTAGCACATGCTAGGTAATTCTATTAGTAAGTTTTGTGCTGACATGTTTCTGCAGTGGTCAAACAATACCTATTCGCAAATTGGGTTCTCCCTCTTGACTGGGCTTCTGTGTAACATTTGTCCTCCAGCTCATCTGGGGAAATCCTGAGGCGTTCTCAGGCCAGCTGAGAAATATTTTATCATTTATCCTTAGTAAAGCATCTGTTAATCTTAATGAATATTCTCCTCAACTGTTCTTCAAAAGGCTGAGGTGGTTGTCTTGAGGTTTTGTGTATGATCCAGTCAAACTGGTTTTGTTGGTTTTGTTGTAGATGAAATGATGCATTCTTAAGCTGAACTTAATGACAAGAGCAAAGTGTCTGTCTCTCTCGCTGCACACAGCAGGGAGTGACAGGTGCAGGACACTCGTGCACCACACTTGGCCACTGCTGCTGCCTCCTGCATACAACTCTTTTCATTTCAATGAGATTGCCCAACGCCCACTCATAACGCTGCAGGCTGCCATTTTCAATCTTGCCTCTGACACGACACGCCTATCTGGTTCTGCTGCTGGAATTTTCCACTTCCACAGTAGATAGTGAGCAACAAGGTGATCTCTCCTTACACTCTGTATCTCTGCCCCTCCCTTCATGCTCAAACCCTTTCCCCCCCTCTCTTCTCATAACATTGAGGTAATCCTAAATTGCTAGCATACTGCTCAGCCATGACTGAAAACATTCCTAACATCTCAGTGAGGGAGCTGACAGGGAAGCACCGGGCCTGCTCAGTCATCACACATACCACTGGAGCTCTTTCCAATACCTCCGCACGCTCATTCTGTGCACAAAAACGTGGATCTCAGAGGTCACGCAGACCTCCCTCAAAAACCTTTTCCCCTTTGTTGCACAGGCAGTATTGGTGGCGGCAGGACGAATAAGACCACGGCCGGGCGGTTACACAGCTGCCGAGGCTAGAACTCCTAGGTGAGCAACAAGTCAGGACAGCCCCAGAGCCAAACAAGACAGCCTGCATTTCCCAAACTCTAACAACTGCCTCAAAAGCTACGGCGGAGAACCTGCCAGCTGCTATCCTGGCATTCCACTCATACAAGTATTTATATGACTAACACAAGCAGCTATGGCCTAAACACGTCACACATGCAATCAATGTGTGTGCATCGTTTTACGGTGGCACAAAGAAAACAAACAAACAACAATAGCAGTGGTTCTCAACTTATGTATACGCTTGAGTTGTGTAGTCCTCTGTCTTTTTTTTTTTTTTTTTATTGGACAAGTATCTAATTGTTTGTATTCAATTACATTGTTTTTACTTTATACATAATATTGTTTTGCTTATTCTATTTTTGATACATGGCTGACAAACCTTCTATATTTAAATGTGTTTTATCTCTGTGCCACACTTTGGAAAGTTGTTATAAAATATACTATATAAAGTTACATGGATTGGATTGGAACATGGCAAGGCAAGTCTTTGTTTAACACAGTTCAAAGGCAACTCAAAGTGCTTAACGAAACAGAATAGAAACAACCGGACAAGGTATTAACATCAAATAACATACAGTGCCTTGCGAAAGTATTCGGCCCCCTTGAACCTTTCAACATTTCGCCACATTTTTTAATTTTTTGTCATGAATCAACAACAAGTGGGACACAATCGTGAAGTGGAATGAAATTTATTGGATAATTTAAACTTTTTTAACAAATAAAAAACTGAAAAGTGGGGCGTGCAATATTATTCGGCCCCTTTACTTTCAGTGCAGCAAACTCAGTCCAGAAGTTCAGTGAGGATCTTTGAATGATCCAATGTTGTCCTAAATGACTGATGATGATAAATAGAATGCACCTGTGTGTAATCAAGTCTCCGTATAAATGCACCTGCTCTTTGATAGTCTCAGGGTTCTGTTTAAAGCGCAGAGAGAACCATGAAGACACAGGAACACACCAGGCAGGTCCGAGATACTGTTGTGGAGAAGTTTATAGCCGGATTTGGATACAAAAAGATTTCCCAAGCTTTAAACATCTCAAGGAGCACTGTGCAAGCAATTATATTGAAATGGAAGGATTATCAGACCACTGCAAATCTACCAAGACCCGGCCGTCCCTCCAAACTTTCATCTCAAACAAGGAGAAGACTGATCAGAGATGCAGCCAAGAGGCCCATGATCACTCTGGAACTGCAGATAACTACAGCTGAGGTGGGGATGGTGTGTTCAGGGTGATGAGATGTGTTGCTTTTACGCCAAACATATCGTTTTGCATTGTGACCAAAAAGTTTGATTTTGGTTTCATCTGACCAGAGCACCTTCTTCCACATGTTTGGTGTGTCTCCCAGGTGGCTTGTGGCAAACTTTGAGAGACTTTTATTGGATATCTTTGAGAAATGGCCACTCTTCCATAAAGGCCAGATTTGTGCAGTGCACGACTGATTGCTGTCCTATGGACAGACTCTCCCACCTCAGCTGTAGTTATCTGCAGTTCATCCAGAGTGATCATGGGCCTCTTGGCTGCATCTCTGATCAGTCTTCTCCTTGTTTGAGATTAAAGTTTGGAGGGACGGCCGGGTCTTGGTAGATTTGCAGTGGTCTGATACTCCTTCCATTTCAATATAATTGCTTGCACAGTGCTCCTTGAGATGTTTAAAGCTTGGGAAATGTTTTTGTATCCAAATCCTGCTTTAAACTTCTCCACAACAGTATCTCGGACCTGCCTGGTGTGTTCCTTTGTCTTCATGGTTCTCTCTGCACTTTAAACAGAACCCTGAGACTATCAAAGAGCAGGTGCATATATACAGAGACTTGATTACACACAGGTGCATTCTATTTATCATCATCAGTCATTTAGGACAACATTGGATCATTCAAAGATCCTCACTGAACTTCTGGACTGAGTTTCTGCACTGAAAGTAAAGGGGCGGAATAATATTGCACGCCCCACTTTTCAGTTTTTTATTTTTCAAAAAAGTTTAAATTATCCAATAAATTTCTTTCCACTTCAAGATTGTGTCCCACTTGTTGTTGATTCATGACAAAAAATTAAAATGTTATATCTTTATGTTTGAAGCCTGAAATGTGGCAAAATATTGAAAGGTTCAAGGGGGCCGAATACTTTCACAAGACACTGTATACGGAGACTTGACTACACACATGTGCATTCTATTTATCATCATCAGTCATTTAGGACAACATTGGATCATTCAAAGATCCTCACTGAACTTCTGGAGTGAGTTTGCTGCACTGAAAGTAAAGGGGCCGAATAATATTGCACGCCCACCTTTTCAGTTTTTTATTTGTTAAAAAAGTTTTAATTATCCAATAAATTTCATTCCACTTCACGATTGTGTCCCACTTGTTGTTGATTCATGACAAAAAATTAAAATTTTATATCTTTGTGTTTGAAGCCTGAAATGTGGCAAAATGTTGAAAGGTTCAAGGGGGCCGAATACCTTCGCAAGGCACTGTAAATAATCACAATATATTTAAAATACTCAGCCCTAGTAAATATGGCTGTATCCTTCAGAGCTTTCCGAAACAATACATATACAGGGACTTTCAATTCATGATTATTTTTTAAACAATACAATACAGATAAAAAAAATATATATATAGCTTTTGGACTATTATCTTACAATCCACCACATAAAAAATACCAAAAATACAAGATTGATGCATTT